TAATGCGTTATATTAAGCAAATTTTTGAATTAATTATACTAGAGCTTTGTTCCATTCGCTATGAATTCCTGTTTCAATGTAAGACTTGCTATAGGTCTATTCCTTCTAAAAGTTTGTTACAAGGTCAGAAGAAGTTACAATAATATAGCTCTGGTCACCCTGGCATGGTTTTATTGGACGGACGGAGACTTGGTTCAGTGTAAAGTGAATTTATTTTTATGTTGAGGGCATAGAAAAATATTTTCTAAACTGTCTATAAATCTTAATCATCAATCGGGAATGCTCTTAATCGTACATGCATACTTAGGACGTTTTCGTATCGCAACGAAAATAGAGCTGCAAAAATATTATAGGTACTCCATCAAAAGTCACGTGACATGATATAAATAAAGTGTAAGAACGTAACGGGTGTGAAAATAGAACAGTTGCCTTAGCAGAGATAACATCGTATGGTATTCGAATCGTCCATTGTAAACAAGAGAAGTGATATTTGTGGCATCTATTTCTATGCAATTAATAAGTACGTATCTTCATCGGGACTCGGGAACGTCCCGTACTTTGCATGCCAGCTCGTAATGTTAATCTACTTTGGAATACATTTGCTACAAATGAACGAAGTAATGATTGAAATTGAACTGTATGTGAGCTGCATGCCGTTGAAACTATTTAGAAAAACCTTTTGAGATACGAGTAACACTGTAAATATTAAAGTTGTCAAATAAAATCAATTACCTGTTACTTTTACGTTTTATTTATCATTAATTTCTTCTTTTCGATAGAAATGTTCCCCTTCAGAGCAATTCCACCTTTATCTAATAAACTTTGTAGGGGAAATGTGCTCCTTCTTGAAACCAACTTGCTCAGTTGAAAGAAACATTGGATGAAATTACAAAGTGTGAGCTAAGCTATGACGCTTGAAGTCTTTGCATTAGATCAGTGCGTGAGGGAAAAGATAAAATATATTTTGTATTACCAACCTTTCATTTACTGTGAAACATAGTACCAGCAACTCATTGGTTTCGCACTTCATAAAGTTTATTTCGAACTTTACTCTCGAGCATAAGGTGACAGCGCCGCTGCCAACAATCCAACTTATTTATGCGACGTAAAATTCCACATTTTTCTTCAGATTTTATCCACTATTTTACTGTAGAATGATAAATTTCTCCTTCAAGTTCATTATTCAGAGTTGATAATAAAACTATGATAGTTAATAAAACAATAACGAAGTTGCTTACAAGTCACTCAAAGATTGCTGCGCAAACGCAGGTTGTGATTCACTTGTGTATTTGTTCAATAATACGAGTAATGGCGGCGGTTTAGTGATGATTTGAGAGTACCGTTTATAATAAATAAATAAATAAAAAATGTATTTATTGCCTTATTATATGAAAATAAATTTTAATGGACATTGAAGAAAGGTAACCAATGTTTAAGTCGCAGTTACAGGCCAAATGAAAATTCAATTATTTTATTTTTTATGTACTTACCTAGTTGTCTCCTAGTACCTAACTCGTAGTAACTTAGATTTGAAACTACGAGCTACAAAGAGGCTAAAACTTGATTAATTGTAGATGTGTGCTCTTCCTCGTGACATTAGTGACGAAAAATTTAGGTACGATGCAGTTTCTTGCTGAAAAGATATTACAATGTTCAAAGTCGGAAAATATTTTTTGATCAGTGGCTGACATTTCGTTTTCAGCCAAATGACGTCCACTGCTGGACAAAGGCCTCCCCCAAGGTTTTCCACAATGAACGGTCCTGCGCTGTCCGCATCCAGGCTCTTCCCGCGACGTTCACCAGATCGTCGGTCCACCTAGTAGGAGGCCTGCCCACGCTACGTCTTCCAGCCCGTGGTCGCCACTCGAGAACTTTCCTGCCCCAACGGCCATCGTCTCTAAGAGCTATGTGCCCCGCCCACTTGACTGCCACTTGATTTTAGCAATTCTGCGAGCTATGTCGGTTACTTTGGTTCTCCTGCGGATCTCCTCATTTCTGATTCGATCACGGCTGACATTTAGTCAGAGGTAAAGTGTAAGTACCAGCAAATTGCCACCTATTTTACCGAATTTATAACTACCAGGGTATTACTAGCAGCATAATGCAGCTACTGTTGCAACTGCGTCTTATAGCACAGAATACATCTTATCGTATAGACGCGCGCAGTTTTCAAACCATCAGATGCCTGGTCACGCAGGTGTTGCATATTTAATACAAAATCACATTGATATCGCACTATGTTTTACTATTAATGTCGATGAAATGCATCTCATTTACCTGAGGTACCAGACTTGTAGCATGTAAAAATTCACCATCTCACTTACCTAAAGAGAGAAAGAGAAATAAATAAAATTACTAAAGCCATACTTTGCAAGATAAACAGTTAACCACAATAATACTCCGCAGACTGCAGCAGCTGGAAGTGTTATACTTATATCGTTCATAATTCGTGTGAGTGAGTCACAGGGCGCGGGCGGCCGACGCGGAAAGCTATCGGCCCACTTTGCGCAGGTACGAATATAACCGAATATTTTCCCACCTGCGCCCGCGTTGAAATCGGGACAAGGTACCGTCGATAGCAAAAGCAAGTTGGGAAATATTTGGATAATATGGCAATGAAATTCCTGCGTTTAATAGATATTTTATCGACGTAATCAATCAGGTTTAAGGTGTGCTCAGCAAGAGGTTCATACGTTTTAGAGAACTACAACATGAACGACTTAAATATTATAATCAAATTATCTCCGTTTCTACACCTAATGCTTGGAAGCTAAAGTAAATTGGTCAAAAGCTTTCGATTGTGCAGACTATGAAATAGGCATTGACAAGGATGTTACGGCATTGCTTTATAAAAATGAGAAAACGTTTGTGCTTATGTTTGACAGGCGGAAAGTAGGTATATAAAGTTACAGAGGCAGATAGAATAGAACGTGATCCAATTTTTTGTGGTTCAAATGCGTAGGTGTATCTCTAGGGTCTATATTGGGACCCTTTCATTTTCGATTCTGTAGAAATCCTTCATTCTCCTGAAACTTTTAAAACTTTTGAATTTATAAATGACGAGATAAGACGATTGAGGATAATATAATGTATACAACTTGGGTTAAATACGGAAAAAGATTCCATTGTCATGCCCAATTTAATGTGGAGAGGATTTGCACAGTGCCTGAAGTGATGTAATAATTATGTTTATAACCCAATCGTCATTTCCACTGATTACTGACATTCGTAGAACTGCTGATCGAGGGCTTCCTCCATATGTAGCACAGCTGCCATCAATCTAATTGCCACTGAAATACATTTTCACGTCAACTGTCTCCACATTTTCTAGAACTGCCTGCATCCATTTTCCGCTTACAGGTACCCGAAATAATATGATCTATCGCGTATGGCTCTGATTTGCAACGGGTAGGCGAACTATCCTGACATTTCACTGCATCCTACTGCGACCTGCGCGCGCAGGTGTGAGTGTGCTGGAAATAGTCGCTGTGATCATATTTTGTGTCCTAAAAAGATAGTTCAAGTAGTCTGAACTTAAACTCTGAATTCAAAACTTTTCCTGAAATCGATTTTTGTCGTTTACAGGAAACAAAAGTCGAACGTGCTTTAAAACTGTATTTTTGAGCTTTCACTTATTGCCGCTGGATATGATCTGATTTTTTATAATTTTCTTGTCGCTTATATCCAAATTGATTGCATGTAACATGGCCCTCTAGAAATAACTATGCACAGTTTACTTCGATGAAAACAGCAAGGCCTTTAGTTAATAATATGTAGATTATAATACGGAAGCAGTTACGATGAGTTTTTAAATAAAAAACTAATCTTAAATAGGTACTCGTCTTTATTTTGTTTAAGCACTTACTGAAGAAAATATTCAATTTTCGTTAATAAATAAAAGAGTTAACAGAAGTTATAAAAAATTAGATCAAGTACCTATGGCAGTCATACCAAAATGAAAGTGAATTTAAAATTAGTAATAACATCACTATGTGTAGAGTAAGGGCATTACGCGCTGTGATGTTGCCAAAAATTCATTCAGGATGCGTTGCATTGTATAATTGTTTGACTAATTCTTTATACAAGCTCTGAGTCACTTTTAAAAAAGAGACAAGTCATTAATTCGCCGGCGGAAAATGTACCTACACACACACACTCAGTCCCACACGGGTTTGAATCACAGCGCGTGAATCTGGGAAGATTTTTCAAGGACTTTCATACATTTTCCAGAACAAAGTGGGAGGGGTTTATACAATCGTACCAAAATCAAAAGGAACTAAACAAAATAAAAAATATTTTAAACCTTATTAAGGCGAAATAGAAAAGGCGGCAAAGCTTCTACGACGGCGTCTACGAAATGCTACGACCATCTATAATCTAATCGCTGCAAATCAATACGGCCAATTTGTAGGCCTAAGATTTATTTCTCACATCAAATTACTTGACTTGATTGTCAAATTTATTATAATGACGTATATTCATTATAATAAATTTGTTGTCCATCAATGCCACAATCGTTTAGGATAATAATTAATTTCATCGAAGTATAATGACGTTAACGATTTTACTACACTGAAGAATCTAAAACGCAAGATTTGAACGGATACATAAAATTAGATTTAATTAATGTTTGTAAACAGCGAGCAAGGAGCTTCTGGGGGTTAATTTAACGAGTGGTAGAAGTTCATTGTTAAGTTCAGCTGGTGGTGGCATTCAGTGTTGGCTCGCGGGCGCCTGCCAGGGACCGAGAGGAATTCACCAGGCGCTGCCTGGATGGGCCGCCCACGCGAGTCGCCGCCCTGTGCCCCGCTGCACCGGGCTTTAGCCACGTAAAGGGTATCGCCAAATTTTGGGCAAAACAAATAAAAGACTACCGCGACGGCGTCAGGACGGGCGTGTCTATAAAAGGCTGAGCGGGGGGTGCGCGGGGGTGGTAACACGATCCGAGAGCTCCAGCCGGCCGGCCGCCCTGGAGCGGCGCTGGGCGGGGGGAGGGGGCGACGGCCGATGCTGCGCGCGCGCCGCCCGCACCCGCTCTCACTAGTCGAACGGTGCCCGACCGGTAACGTAGCGCCGACTGCCGAGAGACGAACCAGCGACAATGTCCGCCGTGGCGAAGACTTCCAAGTACACCTACCGCAGCAGCGGCGGCGGCACCACCGACGTCAACATCGAGTACAGCGCCGACCTGAGTGCTCTCTCCAGGCTGGAGGTACCGGCCGTACCGATTCAGTGCAGTGCTTGTGAAGTGTTTGCGGAAACATCATACGAGTCTGTTATATTTTTCAGGACAAGATCCGTCTCCTCCACGATGATCTGGAATCCGAAAGGGAGCTGCGTCAGAGGGTAAGCTCCTCGGGCATGCGAAATGTGATATGCGCGGGCGCTGCGGCCATAGTAGGCGCGCCAGGTGTAGGCGGGGCGAGCGCTCGCACCTCTATTAATACCGCCGCTTGATTACCGCTTGCCTTCGCACCCTTTGGTGATAACTGACCTCCGGGCAACCCGCTGCAGCCTGAAGCTACTCAAGTGACTAAGTTTCAGTGCTTACTTTACTAACATTTTCAACTTCTGAAAACTTCTAATACGGTTTCTGATGTGCTTTAATTGTAACTTAAACTGTGATGTGATTGTGAAGTGTTGCTTTTACTAATAACTTAAAAATATTTGTGTCAAAATTTTACATATTCGAAGAAAATTTTTCATTCAGAAGACATTGAAATTTCTAAGTCTTGGTGTAGTTGGAAGAACTTTCAGTTTAATGGCATTGATATAGTGTGTGAAACATTAGGTTTAGTTTGATTTCCATCCGATCATTTGTGTTCTATTTTTGACTGGTGCACCATCCAGCACGAGAGCAGCGCGGGCGCCCGTGTCGCGGCCGCGCGCAGACTTGCGCGACCGACTCTTGCGCATCCCATGCTTATATTTAGCCACGTAGCGAAAGCATTCTCTGAAATCTCAACTTCTCGCTCTCGGGTCTCACTTTTGAAACTGGGCCAAATGATGCTCGTTCACGTTGAGAATGCCACAATATTGAAATATAATAATAGACTGTGGTATGAGTGGCGAAAATATCCGTGTTAGTCACACCGGCTGTGAGATGTGAACCGATTCTTATTTTAGACGGGCACAATGTACAAATATGCGAAGGACGTTGCTTTATACTGTTACTACATAACATTAAGTAATTACTGAAAGTTTTGAGCTTTTGTGATAATATTTTCAGCCTCAAAATTAACTTTTTTATGATTTTTATCTGCAATATTTCTAACTCCTTCTATTAAAGGATTCTTCTTAAGTTCTGCTAAAATACGTAGAATACTGAACTGAAACGAGCAAGGTCAGATTCTTGCAGGTGTGTTTTTTGTTTTGTTGCATGGTACTGCAATATTAATGAGAAATCCTGGTTCAATAATAAATAACATTGTTTATATTCTTTCATGTATTGCAGATCGAGAGGGAGAAGGCAGATTTGAGCGTGCAAGTTATCCAACTTTCTGAGAGGCTGGAGGAAGCTGAAGGTGGAGCTGAGAGTCAGGTAAATACTGCAACTATTTTTGTACCATTTGTAGCTGTAGTAATAATCACCACCGCTGGTGCAACAATCAAACTAGCAAGTGTTTTGCACCAAGTAAACCAAATATAACAAGCATCACGATTGGAAAGCTGCTTGGGAATCAATTATTAAGAAGAATATTTAAGAACTCCTAAGATATGGATTTAATCATGTTTGGAAGAAAGCAACGGGAAGAGATACATAATTGAAAGAAAAAGTTTATTATCAATTCATATGATAATATATTTTATCAAGAGTAAAAGAAAAATAAGAAAACATAGAAGGCAAGAGAACTCATGAACGACATCAACTCAAGGAATTTCTGAAATAATCAAGATTCAACAAAAAATCTTAAAATACTTCTTGCTTTGCGAAATATATTTTGAAGCAATTGCGAATTTCTGCTATGCGATGTTTTTGACTAATACCATTTTTTACAGGTATTTTTATTAGTTAAAACAGTACACTACTTTGAAATAAAGAAAAAATGAAACTCAAGAAAAATATTAAATCATGCAAATACCAAAACAAAACCAACGAAAGGTTTTAAATAATTATGTGCAATTTAAATTGTACGTAGTCTACTTAAACTTGTTGAAATATTAACATTACAAAAGTACCTACATACAAAACAGACAAAATAATATTTCAAATGTGCACCCAAGAAATAACTGGGGGCGTATTTTGAAATGGATTTGTACATTTTTCAGTTCGAGATCAACAGGAAACGCGACACCGAACTTACCAAGCTCCGCAAACTACTGGAAGATGTCCACCTGGAGTCTGAAGAGACAGCACACCTGCTCAAGAAGAAGCACCAGGAGATCGTCGTTGACTTCCAGGAACAAATCGACCAGCTTACCAAAAGCAAAGCTAGGTAAGGGAATGCACCAGTAACATACAGTATGCACTAACCGTGTGGAACCTAGATTAAGAAAGCTGTGCGATCATCGTCTTTTGCGAGAAAAGCTGTGCGTTTGATGTCGACATCACATTTCAAAACACCTTTTCCACCATTATCATTGAGTTATCATGTTTTATTTTTCGCATTGTGATGGTATGACACTTTCTTTGTTGCCAGGAGTGAGAAGGAGAAGTCCAAGTTCCAGGCTGAAGTATACGAGCTGTTGGCCCAAGTGGAGAACGTGACCAAGGAGAAGATCACCATCTCCAAGCACGTTGAGAAGCTTGAGATCTCTATTAGCGAGCTCCACATTAAAATCGAGGAGTTGAACCGCACCATTGTGGACATCACCTCCCACAAGCAGCGTCTGTCGCAGGAGAACGTTGAACTCATCAAGGAAGTTCAGGACCTTAAGGTAATTAAAAATATCTAAATTATTGCCATTGCCTATAAAGTTCTAAACGTGCCATTAGCAAGTGTTCAAAAATAATCCATAGCATAACGACAGAAGGTTTAAACTGTAATAAAAACGTGTTTCAGGTGAACATCGAGAACGTGACCTACCTTAGGAGCCAGATCGCCAGCCAGCTTGAGGACTCGCGCCGCAGGCTCGAAGATGAGGAGAGGAGGCGTTCCCTGCTTGAAGCTAACCTGCACCAGGTAAAGCTCAAAGACTTTTATATCAACTTACCTACTGAGATTACTTTAGTTTACTACTTGAATAAAGAGTTTTGCAAGAAAACTTTACTGACTCTTTTCTTTCAGTGAAGAAAACAGCATCAATTTATTAACGATGATATCGAATTTACTAAATTAAACCTTTTTCTTTTCCTTTAGGTTGAAATCGACTTGGAATCCGTCCGCGTCCAGCTGGAAGAGGAATCTGAAGCCCGTTTGGACCTGGAACGCCAGCTTGTCAAGGTCAACGGTGAAGCCCAGCACTGGAGGTCCAAATTCGAGGCCGAGGCTGCCGCCCGTGCCGAGGAGATCGAGGAGATCCGCCGCAAATACTCCATCCGCATTCAGGAGCAGGAGGAACAGATTGAGACCCTCATCGCTAAGATCAGCAACGTTGAGAAGCAGAAGTCCCGCCTGCAGAGCGAGGTAGTAATCTGATATAACTTTTAATATTTATCTTGTAATAGTAAGGAATTTACAGTATTCTAAAACATGCTGTTTTTTTTTGTAAAGGAACTTAACATGAGACAACTAAAAATACTGAAGTTGTTGTAATAGGTATTAGTCAATATACCTAACTTTTATAACGAGTCTTTTTGCAAACTTAGGTTCATTTAAGTTATGGGCCACGAAATAATGTTAACAGCCGTTTTATACGACTTTACGAACCCTATGGTACGCAATAAGGAAGATCTAACGAACTCATCTTAAAACATCTTTGAAACAGGTGGAGGTCCTCATTATCGATCTGGAGAAGGCCAATGGAACAGCTCGGGAGCTGCAGAAGAGAACGGAACAGCTGGAGCGAGTGAACATCGAGATCAAGTCCCGCCTCGAGGAGACCGTCTCCCTGTACGAGCAGTCGCAGCGTGACCTCCGCAACAAGCAGACTGAGCTCCAGCGTGTCAGCCACGAGCTTGACAAGACCCGTGAGCAGAAGGACGCGCTCGGCCGCGAGAACAAGAAATTGGGTGGTAAGTTGATTGTGTGATCCTAGATTTTGCAAGTTTTATGCAATTTTGACCCAGAAAATCTACTTTGACCTTTGCGTTTGTAAGCAACTAGGAAAACAAGCTGAAAATATGTACTTTCAGTTTTGATTACATGTCACTATTATTAAGAGACCGAGATCTTGGGAAATGCGCAGTTGTGATTTCTGAGACAAATCGAAATTCAAGCGAATGAAGTTGCATGCTAATGAAAATATAAGATTCTGATAATATGAGAACCTTTGAGTAGTATCATTATTGAGTTAACTAGCAAGTGCTATACATTTTTAGTAAACTTGGAGTACCTAACTTTTTAGCCACATCAAGGCAGCAATATTACACTAGACCCATAATGTTATTTCTAGTAACGGAACTTTTGACATGGCAATGGGTGAAAAATTTTTAACTTAAAAGGAAGTAATTAACAGAAAAACCTTTCCAGATGACTTGCACGATGCCCGCGCGACCCTCACGGAGATGAACCGCCGTCTTCACGAGCTCGAGATCGAGCTGCGCCGTCTTGAGAACGAGCGAGAGGAACTCACCGCCGCCTACAAGGAGGCTGAGGCTGTAAGTTGCCCTTCAATTTTATATCGGATCAAATGAATTCCAGAGTCATAGACTTGGATCCAACACTAATGTTTTGGCCTTACATTTTATGACCAAAGACCAATCTACACATTGATGTATTGGATCCAAGAACAGTCTTGAATCTCCAAGTTATAGAACTTGGAGCCAATTGGGTCATGTGTGGCATTCGTTCGTTCGTTCGGTTCAGCCGAAAGACGTCCACTGCTGGACAAAGGCCTCCCCCAAGGATTTCCACAAAGACCGGTCCTGCGCCATGTGTGGCATTAGATGGACATTATCAATACCTAGATACTCACTGTCTCATTTCGTCCAAGATAATTATGTCTTTTCAAAGATGACGACTGCTTTCTTATATTTTCGAATAATTTAAATTAAATTTGACTTTTCGGTCAATGGACACTGATGGATTAGTGTGTACCATTTTAGACTGCATCGACATTTAAATTAACATCAAATTTGATTACAATAAAATATAAAAATCTGTCTTTTTTTTGGGATGGACTGTCATCTGGTGTAAGAGACAAAAACATAAATTCTAGCATTGACAGATTAGGTAGGTACTTATAATACTACTATAATTTTAACTTTGTAATGCAGTTAGATTCACAAAATGAAGGCTTTAATCAGACATAAGGAAAAGAAATCATTTAACACTAATTAGCTAATTACATTATGAAAATTAAGACATGCACCAATTAAATGTTCACGTTCATCAATCAACTTTGAAACGCGTGTTGTAGTTTGCTGTCATTGTCTGATTAATCACAACCGATGGACCCAAGAATGCTCTTCACTAATTAATTGCCGCGTCGTCGTCGGCTGCAGTTGCTATGATTCTTTGGCAAAGGCACAGTCTGGGCGTTGCGCGCGCGCAAATAGATTCTAATTTTAGAATCGAGGGCGTACATTTAAAAACTGTTGCTAATAATTTATAAGAGATCCGTGACTTTGTCGCTTCAAAACAGAAAACAGATTTTACAGAAATAGCTGATTAGTTTTTTATACGGTCAGCGGATTTTATTCTTCTTTTACCTTCTTCTCAGCACTTGCCAAATGTTTGTCTCGAAGCGCTGGTAGGGCAAAAAAAGAATGAGACATGTATAGGCTCCTTAAGAGCATTTGACGATTTGTAAGTACTATTTTAATTAGTCTATACAAATAAATAAAGATAATTTTGATTTTGATTTTGATTTTACAATAAAATGAAGGACTGCAACTATTTACAAGTTATTATCCTTGGTCGCGCTACAGATCGAATGTGAAAAATTATTTGTCAAAGAAATATACAATCGCACACGCAGCTGCTATAATTAAATATAAATTATAATAATTAATTCGCCTGGCAGTAAACTAACACTATAATGATAAATATTTTTTTCCTTTTGTTTTGTCTGTCATTTTAAATAATTATAAGTCAAGTTTTGTTTTATTTCATTAAAATTATATCAAAAAGTCCAAAATTACTGAAGTCAAGTTAGTAGTGGATTAAGCAATAATTTTTTTGTGTTTAAAAAAACATTGTAATCTGTGGATGAAAGACAACAACAAATGGGTCTAACTAACAATTGGACTACGTAGATGAAAAGCAACCGATCTATTAGGTATGTAATAATGGGACAAGAGTTTGTGATTGTCACAATAATTTGCCCAGGGTCGCAAAGCTGAGGAGCAGCGCTCACAGAGGCTGACTGCTGAGTTTGGCCAGTTCCGTCATGAAGCTGAACGCCGCCTCCAGGAGAAGGAAGAAGAAATTGAAGCTATTCGGTGAGTACCCATTCATAATAATGAAATATAGTGTAAAATAACTACTAAATATGAGCATGTTGTTATAAAAATTGCGAAAGTTTGATGAATCCACTTTAAAAAAACATACCAATAGGGAAGAAATGAGTGTGCTAATGAACTTACCAAGTTCACGATGAATCATTGACTGAATTAAATGTTTAACCAAGGAAGTGTCTTAATGAAGAAAGGAGCTGATAATGTGGTACTTACTTGCAAAAAGAACACAATCGAATGTCTGTCTCAGACAGAATAATCCACGCAGACCGCGTCGAGCGCCCTCCCACTCGGAACTACAAATGCAGTACATCTTTCAACACAACACATCCCCCCTTCCTCTCAACTAACACTGAGTGATATGTGTCACCGAAAAATGTGACCGACAGGGCTCAATAATCACAACCATGACACAATTTTATAACTGGATCCAAGCCAAATTCAGATTGATGCAATCTATCCAATAATCTCGCTAAAAGTTACAATAAGACTGAAAGAAAGTGCTGAAATGCATTCAAGTTCCCGGAGTTCGCGCTATATCGGTATATGGGATCTACGTTTCCGGCGAATCAATTTTCTGTTCATATTAATTTCGCTTAATATAACGCGCATAATTGGCACGGATTCCATTTATATATAACTGCTAATCTGATTGGTGAATATTACCGGCGATTGTACGAAAAGATTGGCACATAGAACCCAGGGAAAATCTACAAAAGACAGCGCAGACTTTACTTTTGCTCTAATTACGCAACTTCGGCCCCTGGCGTTGCACGTCGGGGTGACCGATAGTCATTTATCGAATCGAACGACACTCTTGACGCCGACACTAAATCTTTCATTGCCTCATCATGCCGCCAGTTAAAGTGCCTAACTACAATAAGTGGAACAAACCGCCCACCGCAGTGTATGAAGACAATTATGGCTACGGGATCAATTTCTACCAGCCAATGATCGACTACATAACCGCGAAGGAGCACGGGGTCTCTGTCAAACCACCTCACTTGCCGTGGAACAACGAGCGAGGACTAGACAAGTACAGGTTCGACAAACCAGTGAAAGCGTACTCCGAGGAAGACGTGACGCGCATCTCACACGAAATTGCTGAACAAGCAAAACGCGATCTCAACAAGTTTGACGTGGCAAAACGTTCCCCATTTTCCGTCGTGGCTACTGCCGCTGCTGCAAACGTTACAAAACACGTGGGTGTAGAAAGTGTCACTGTGAAAGCCAAGAAGAAGAAACTGGATAGAGAAAAAATTAACGCCGAACGCCAGAAAAAAAGGATGGACGAAATAGAAAAAGAACTGGAATTGTATGAAGCTGCGTCCAAAGTGGGTGCTGAACTGAGAGGCAAGGCTATGATGTATAGAGGTAAATCTGCAAAAGCTATTGCGCAGACCTTGCTGGAGGAGAGCAGAAAAAATGTGGATCAAGCCCGAGTTAGGAGAATGGACACAGAAGCTAAGAAAAATGTGATAGATCGTAACTACGCAAAGTTAGCGCAAAACATAATGTCCAAAACAATGGAGTCAAAGTACTCAAATCAATCTGAAAGTAGAGTATCGGAATCGGTTTCAGAAACAATAAGGACAGTGCGTCGCAGTGTTTCGCCTACAACGTGCATTGTAAGAGTTCAAACTGAAATTCCGATTATAGATAATTCTTACGTGCAACACATCAATGAGTTGAAAGACACATTGAGGCAGTTTGAGCAGATTAGCACGAGTTTTTGTATTGACACAAGGTGGATATAGTTTTTGTTTTGTGTTTAAGTGTTTGATTTGTTGCGGAATGTGTTTTATAATGGTGCGTTTGTCAACAGCAAGCAGACCAGCATTGAAATCGAGCAACTGAACGCTCGCGTTGTTGAAGCTGAGACCAAGTTGAAGTCTGAAGTGACCCGCATCAAGAAGAAGCTCCAGATCCAGATCACCGAGCTCGAGCTGTCCCTTGATGTTGCCAACAAGACCAACATTGATCTGCAGAAGACCATTAAGAAGCAGTCCCTGCAGGTAATCTATCATGGTTTATTTATCACTCTACCATTTGACGCTATGAAACACAAAGCGTCACCTGTAATAATTATAATAATGTCATCTGACGTCACTACACTGGTGACGTGAGTTTTATGTAATCTCAATTTAGTAAGTTCAATCTTTTCTGAACCAAAATTCTGAATTTGGTGTTAATTAATGATCTGATTGGTAACCTTTTACAAATGATAAATAATCAAGACGATCGTCTCCTTTAAAACTTGTTCAACATTTTACTCTTAAAATTAAATTACTCACTTAATTTTAAAGTATTGGCAGGACCTCAACATTGTTTGCATTGTCTCAAATATTTGATTATTTCCCAGCTCACCGAGATCCAGACCCACTACGACGAGGTGCAGAGGCAGCTGCAAGTGACCCTCGACCAGTATGGCGTCGCTCAGCGCAGGATACAGTCCCTCACCGGCGAGGTCGAGGAGATCCGTGGCAACTACGAACAGGTAGGAAAATGTACAAAACCAACTAAGTAGGGGTACATAAGATAAGAGAATTTCTGACAAAGCTCACCAAACTTTACTCTCGTAAATAAAAAAGAAATGCTATTAATTGCAAATCAGTCTAATGGTTAGATGCAGATTAGGATCATACTCGTTGGGTTAAACAAATAGATGTACCATGCAACCTTTGGTAAACAATTTAAATACCAATGATAATGTCATATTGCTATTCTTGGCAACCTTCTCGTAACTGTATCAGGCAAAGTGCTAATGTCAATAAATAGAATCTCATTATAATTTCTCTTGAAACATCTGCAGAGTCATGTTTTTGAAATGTCTTGGGATTCAGAGGAGCAATTAAATACAAGACGTACTGAACGATTCCACGGTTTATTGTCAACTGGAACATAGATAAAATAGGCTACTAAATACAACGTCACTTGTTAATATTGACGCCCGTATTCACAAACATTACTATGAGGCCTCTCAGTGCGTGTGGACGCACAGGGTGACACACGAACCAATCACAGAGCTCTATTCAATGCTGTGCGTTCGATTTGCTGCTTCACTTAAGCAAGCATCGTTTGTGAAAACGGGCGTGAATTACCTACATTACAGTATTAGAAATTACTAATCTCACCTTCAAATTACCAGGCCCTCCGCGCCAAGCGCGTCATCGAGCAGTCGTACGAGGAGGCTCAGACCCGCATCAATGAGCTCACCGTCATCAACGTCAACCTGTCCAGCAGCAAAGCCAAGATCGAGCAGGAGCTGGCTGCCGTCGCGGCTGACTACGATGAGATCACCAAGGAACTGCGCGTCGCTGATGAGAGATACCAGCGTGTCCAGGTATGCACCTTCACTGGTTAAGTTTGCTTTAAAATTTATCAAGATCTTTTGAATCTTAACAGTACCAATATTAGTATGAATATTTTTCTAAATCACCTGACCAGTAGACTAAAATCTCCTTTTGACTGATTTGTGCTCCTGCGGTAGAGAAATAGAGACTATTTGATGATTTTTTCTAAAATAGTAGAAAACTTAGGAGTAATTCTTTCACCTAGAATCTGATATCACAAAATCTAATATGTCTATAGATTTCAGCTCTACTGCTTAACATTACATGTCTTTATGACCCATGCTCGCTTTTAAATAGATAATAAATAGACAACGTTGTAGAAACTAGCATTGTAGATGCAAGTAACTCTTAATTTAGCTGAGATCATTATCTAAATACTGTGTGTTTGTTGCAGACTGAACTTAAGCACACCGTCGAGCACTTGCACGAGGAGCAGGAGAGGATTGTCAAGATCGAGGCCGTCAAGAAGTCCCTCGAGATCGAAGTCAAGGTTGGTATAATAATAAAAAACATATGCTCGTGACGTGAGTTTCCGCAAAGATTTTTAGCATTGATTTCATGCGATGAAATGTTGTTCACTTAGAACCAATTCTCAGAAACAATCTCACAAGACGATTTAGATCTTTAGATAGATCGATAGATCTTTACTACTTAAAATCCTTAGATTAATAAAACCTAGATAGATAGTCAGTGCACGAAAGGTGAGGCAGTTTTTAGGGAGCCGGCACGGCTTACCCGTAAACGTCACATGAACTGTCNAGAATTACAGAATCAAGTAGAGTAGTTAATTGTTCAAGAAATATTTTATAGTTCTCATTTATATTTTTGTCAGCCATTAAAAATTAATAGAATTAAAGAGCTACAAACCAAAAATAGGCATCAATTTCTTAAGAATTTTATTCTACACGATCGATTCAAGACTGACAGCGCGTTGGCGTATACCACAGAAACGTTTATTACTATAAGTACTCAGTACAAACAAAACTTTGAATAAACACTCGGCAATTTCATTATTTTAATTGAATTCAGTCGAATCCAAATAGGACTTCAGTAAAACTGACATTAATCTAAGTTATTGCTATGACCTTAGAACTACGTTCTAGTATGCAATACATTAGATATCCAGTATACTCGCATCCCAAGTTTCTATCGATGCCTTTTTTTGCATGGATTACGGAACTATTCCCACCTCTCGTTCCCACCGCTGCAACTCCTGTGTAGCCAGGATCTACAGCTTGACCGCCAATAAAAACCCAGTCAGTGAAGGTCAAGTTTGTCCCGGTGGAAAGTTCAACTGTCATATGACCTGCAAATCCTACAATGAACTTAATCCGAAGAACAGGAGTTCGAAGTTAAGGTTCGATTAATTGCATGCATGGATGGACGTAAGAATCTGCATTATTGTTATGTCTGTAAGCGAATATTTATTACGCTTTTCATAAAATGTTGTACCAACCTCAGCCATGAATCCTTGCGTAGATGGTTAACCAATTCTTCAATCATAATAACTAATAATATTTTGTGATAAGTACTCTTCGGCACATTAAGCATCGCAGTTTTACTGCCTATAAGTCACCCTTTAGTTCCTGAAAAATAACGACTCTATCCTCTCTTGTATTCTGAAGAGACCTACTGCATCAATTTTTTTGTAGATTTATTGAGAAAAATGTAATTATTTAATGTACCGTGACGATGTTAATAACAGTAGAGCTAATAGTTGCGTGAACGAAGGTCGGCGTGAATTTTAATTAGAAATAACCAATGATTTTATGTCTTCCATAGTTCACCTTCGACCACGCGAACAGATAACTGTCGACACGATTTGCATTTTTGTCCAGCCCTAAGTAATTTGATTGAAGGCAGGTATTCCATCGCAATCGGTTTTTTTTTCTTCATCGTCATCATCATCATTTCAGCCACAGGAATATAGGCCTCCTCCAATGACTTCCACATCTCACGGTTAGTTGCAGCCTGCATCCAGTGCCTTCCTGCTACCTTTATCACGTCGTCGGTCCACCTTATGGGTGTACGTCCTACGCTGCGTTTTCCGGTACGTGGCCTCACTCCAGAAACTTAACTGCTGCCTTTTCTGAGTACCCTGTACTATGTGCCCTGGCCATTGCCACTTCAGCTCGCTAATCCGTCGGGCTATGACAGCGGCTTTAGTTTTTTTTACGGATCTTCTCATTTCTGATTCGATCTCGTAAAGAACGAAACACACACAGAGCATAGCATTTTTTTTCTTGACTGAAGGTAAATTAAAGATTGGACCACCTCAATCTCACAATCGGCTCTCAGTTTCCTTTTATAATCTCTACAAGTCTACACATTTTATTTTAACTACGACTTTCTATTAAGTGTACTTTGACATTCTCTGATGTATGAAAGATAAAAAACAGTTATTACTAAGTATAATACAGTTTAATCATCAAAACTATGTTAATACCTCTATCAAGGTCGTATGTTACATCGATTGTAATCTACGGTTCGTGGACGTTTACAGTTTTAATTGTTTTCGATAAAGAAACGTGGTCGTTTAATTATTTAAACTCCATACTTACCGCACACCAGTATGAAAAGCAGATCTAGCATCATATGTTGTGAGATTTATGATGATCTTGTGAAATTTTGTTACACGCAATAATGTATAGTTTCATGTGCTAGCGGCAGTATACTATATTTGTTTTAGTAGAAAACAAATTAATGAGCTGTCAGCGGCAGTCTAGTCACTGACATGTTAAAACTCTAGTCTCAAGTTATTTAATTAGTAGAAAAAACTTAGCTAAATTGAAAAAGTATAACACGAATGATATCGAAAACCTGTTTTCTCTACCTTTCATCGATTCTGCGACAGATATGGCCAGCCGAGCCAGTTGACTGTGCTTGTTATATTTTGTACTATACTATTTTTGATTGGTCACCTCTCTGGCGAATGACCCAGTTCCAGATTTTATCCATTATCGACGTTCATCTCAGTCGAAATTTTTCTTATAGTCATAACTTAAGTAAGTAATTAGTCGTTTATTAAATTAAATTCCTGAAAAACATCAATTAATTAACAACACAACCTTATTAAAGTTTCGAGACACAATAACCAATTGTTACGCGGTCATAATAGGTCGCATATTATGCTTATGCGGGTTATAATCCAATGGTATGCTTACCTCCCAACAACTTATCTTTTAAAGCATGACGTTTGAGCTATTATGATAGTAATCTGGGTGCTTGACATCATACTCAAACTGCCATAAACTGCTCATATTGTATTCCGCGGTAGATGCGCCCGCGCCGACCGCGGGAAATCTCTTGTTCCACACAAAGCGTCTACGTACGTCCAAAATTACCATAAACTCGTTCCGAACGTATTTACATACATTTACGCTCAATAGCGTACGTGACTGCCGAATTTGTTCTAGATATCGTAGCTTAGGCGCAAAGTGGTTGGATGCAGTAGGTTCGCTGTGAACAAAACACAATTTTATTGAATTAATTTAACACAAAAAAATGTAGTTTTGTTGAAGAGTCACAGGCTAACACCCGTATTCACAAACGATGCTTGCTTAAGTGAAGCAGCAAATCAAACGCACAGCGTTGATAGAGCTCTGTGATTGGTTCGTGTGTCACCCTGTGCGTCCACGCGCACAGTGAGACCCATAGTAACGTTTGTGAATACGGGCGTCAGTTATTTATTTATTTATTTGAACACCAACAAGGTTACATTATGTTATGTTACCTATTGGTCTATAGAAAGTTTCTAATCTCATTGCACTTATGATTACTGTTGAAAAAAATATATATTACTAACTACGTAGACACTATTCAGCCTCACAAACGTTCACACAAGCCTCAAACAGCTTCATCATCATCATCATTTCAGCCACAGGACGTCCACTGCTGAACATAGGCCTCCCCCTATGCTTTCCATGTTGATCGATTGGTAGCGGCCTGCGTCCAGCGCTTCCCTGCTACCTTTACGATGTCGTCGGTCCACCTTGTAGGTGGACGTCGACAAAACAGCTTGCCCTGCCACAAATCCGGGACAGCTTTTGCTGCGGCGGTGCTACTGCGGCTGATGCTGAAAAGAAGTGGCGAAAGAAGCTCAGTCACTATGTTGGATTGATGATTTACCTGCTATACGAACCTTAAACTGACAGACTATCTTTTCAGACGTGCACCACGGCCTGGCTTATTGAGGCGGTTGGTAGAGTTTCTGCCATTTTGTGGATGGTATTGTGCTAACGCCCACCGTCTAGAAGCATAATAATATAAATATTCTTAGGGTGGGTTGCACCATCTTATTTTAACTTTGACAAACGTCAAAAATCTGTATAACTTCATACAAAAAACACCGGTAATCTTTATAAATACGGTCAAAGTTAGGTGGTGCAACTCAGCCTAAGTAAGAGAAATGTCATAGCAACGGTCCTTCTTATTTTTCCTACTCTATGGCTTAGCATCTACTTATCGCTGACTTTTGTTTTCCCTCTGTTGTTCACCTATTTTTTTATTTTTTGTGTATTTATCGCTATCATAGAGTAAGCCACCTGCCTTGTTTGCAAGCGATGTACGTTTTAAACAATGTCACTGACAAACTAAGTCATCTTTTTGTAACATTTATTTCTTCTTTTTTTGTTTATGGCCAGGTCTGGGATATTACGGCCCACAGAATAACCTCCCCAATGAATTTCACCAAAGTCACATTATTATCTAAATAAATAAATAAATATCCTTGGACTACTAATCTACACGACAAAAAAAAGAAAACAAAAGAATTTAGAGAACACGTGTAACGAAAAATATTATGAGTTTATTAATATAATCTTGTTAAAATGATAATTTAGATAGATTCTTGTCATACATCTACCATACAAAAAGCACCTGTTATTGTCAATGTTACGATTAAAATAAGGTGGTGCAACTCAGTCTAAGCAAAAAGGTGTGTTATTAGGCATTCAGATGAAAATCAAATTAACGATAAAGGTTATCTTATAACTACATCTAAGATTATTCATTGAATAATAAATACACAAAATAAATAATAACGCGTAAAAAATACGTCAGATCTAAGATAACTGATTAGATATAAATTGATATAAATTCAAAAACTTCGTGAAGTGATTGCAAATTGAAATTACATTTATGTAAGTACGGAAAACTTCACATCAAGCTAAACACTGTGCAATTTTATGCAGTTGTATTTAAGGTGTTTTTTTGCAACAAAATTTTGTAGAGTTGTAGACTGACGACTTAGTGTGAGTTAACATCAAACGTCGTCACTATAAGTCTATCCAATATAACTTGATTAGAATGACAGCTGCCATCAAAAGTAACGACATAACTTTGTAGTAGCGATCAATGAGAGCTAAATATTGGCGGACAAGAAATAATACAAACAATATTTTCGACGACAGTGCTTCTAATAAAAATGTTAATTTCGTGTATATGCAGCGTTAAATTACACCAATAAGTAGTAATTCGAAATTATAAAAATCAAGCTAGAGTATTAACGACGTCTCTACAAGGTTATCTCGAGTTACAAAAATGTTAGTGTTGGGACATATCGACAAATGTCATATTAAATTAAAACTATTTTTTTAACATATTTGTTAGGGATATATTAAGTCCGCTACAGAGCAATAAACACAGTGGTTGGTAGTAACATAATAAATATATTGGTATCAAAGCACACGTAGAATANTATTGCATACATAATATTCCAGATTATCAGTTAAAGTTAGCCCTAATTTATTCAGAGTTATAGAGATGCCTCTGTGATCTGAAAGCCCATACTCCTTAACATCAACATTCATACAGCTTGCGTCAAAGTTAGTCATTATTGCATCCAGGCAAGGTATTAACGGTGGACAACCGTGAACGTGTCACATATTGTGCAAATCCTAGTATTAACGGTGGACAACCGTGAACGTGTCACATATTGTGCAAATCCTAGTATTAACGGTGGACAACCGTGAACGTGTCACATATTGTGCAAATCCTACTAATATTATAAATGCGAAAGTTTGTATTGATGTTTTGATGTTTGGCGTGAAAGAGTAACTCTTTCACGCCAAAACTGCTAAATGGATTTTGATGAAACTTTACAGTATTATTATTTATAACTCAGATTAATATATCCTACTAATATCATAAATGCGAAAGTTTGGATGTCTGAATGTTTGTTACTCTTTCACGCAAAAACTACAAAACGGATTTTAATGAAACTTTACAGTATTACCCAGAATAACATAAAGGCTATAATTTTTGACGATCTGTGACAAACGAAATTTCACGCAGGTGAAGCCGCAGGCAAAAGCTAATAGGCTATAATTCATGACGATCTGTGACAAACTAAATTTCACGCGGGTGAATCCGCGGGCAAAAGCTAGTTTCAAGATAAATACTAATGCCTCTATCTACAGGAAAACTGATAAAATTCTTTGATAGCACAAGTAATAGTTTATATCACACTTAATATATAAAGGCGAAAGTTTGTGAGTGTGTATGTTTGTATGTTTGTTACTTCTTCACGTCTAAACGGCTAGAGCGATTTAAATAAAAGTTGGTATGCAGTTAGCTGACACCCTGGATTAACACATAGGCTACGTTTTACCACGGGTAACACCGCGGGGCACAGCTAGTTTCGTAATAAGGGCTAAGAAGATGGTAAAAAGTACACTTTAAATAAGGGTTCCTTGTCAGGACTAAGGAACCAAACTCGATAATCACTGTTAATATTTTTTGGTATGTGGTTAAGCTGTCAAGCAGATGACGCATTTCTTCCAGGTCATCAGTATATTTTTCCCTACTATACAGTATCTTTTTATTTGTATTCAATTTGAAACGATATGCATCTGTTCAATACATTTCCTTTCCTATCTGATAACTAAGCATTCAAATTGCATCCATTTAATATGATAATATCTATAAATTGCATCGACAATCAATATCGGTTTACGTTGAACATTTGTGTTTCAACTATTAACCCTATTACTTAGGTTTAAAGTTAGTTTTCCATAAACACCATCAACATCAGTTTACTCGTGCATCTCTACATTTGTCTTTGAATTATTAACCTTATTGCTAGAGTTTAAAGTTAGTTTTCCAGGAGCTGTTCTATATCTGAAACAATGAGCAGCCTATCAAATTGAATGCTAGTTCAATAGAGAAGCCACGGATAATACACTTCTGGTACGCTCATTGGCCTGAATCAGGCCTGATGGCCTGACGGGCTGCGAATGATAACCGGACCTGAGGGCCTGACAGGCTGCATCGAATGATAACGTTGGGATTAGTCCGGATACTGAAGCCGGGACATTGTCTGTGACATCTACTGTATCCATTAAATAACTTTAATACAATACAATTTGTATAATAGGTATTGAAGACTTGAATCTATCAGATTAACCGGTTAATTAAGAGATGATTCGGTGATTCAGAGTGTTGGTAGAGTGAAACATATTTTCTACTTTTTATTCCTAGCTTAGCTTCTTCGTCCTTCTTCTTCTACTAATTTTAGTAAATGTACTCTAAAACTTTTCGTAATGATTTAAAATTGATCTAATGACAATAAAGCTTGAACTGAGAACTGCTACAGAATTAATTAACGATTTTATTTACTTAAAACCAAGAGATAGAGACTTGTTTTGTTCTGGCGCTATTTTTATTTGCTTTTATTTTGAAAAATTGGCGATTTGTTTTACTCCTAAGTCTGAACAAAAATATGCTTTTAAAAGCAATTTTTCTACTTCTAAGAATTAATCTAGCATTAATCCCGTATCTTGACATGTATACCGAACCATACTTTATTTATACGAGTGCGTCACGTACAGGCCCCATCATCAGTGCGAGAGGCTCAAGGGTTTACCGTAACCACAGCGCAATGCCTACAAATAACAGGGTAAAGGGTCCCTGCAAACAGGGGTCAAAACGAACGTAAGAGCATACCCGAGGTTTTGTGACGTTCGGCATTTGGAGAAACAAAAGAAAAGCGAACGTAACGTTTTCTTAACCACACGCACACGTAGTAAGTAGTACGAGACTAAGGAATTTTATTTTCCACCTTTTGTAAGGCAAAAAATTATAAGGACTGGACTAAATAGGTTTGGGTAAGATCGTTCGTACGCATAAACGACTATTTATCTTTCGAAGCTCTTCAAAATTAGACGCTAGCTAGACGCTAGACGCTAGCTCGTATTCACAAAGATTACTATGACGTCTCACAGTGCTCGTGGACGCACAGGGTCTCACACGAACCAATCACAGAGTTTTATTCAACGCTGTGCATTCGATTTTCTGCTTCACTTAAACAAGCATCGTTTGTGAATACGGGCGTAAGGCTGAGCTGCAACACCGAACTTTAACCGTAACTATAACGATAACTATGGTGAATTTTGTATGGAGATTGACAGATTTTTGACGTTTGTTAAAGTTAAAGATAGTACAACTCACCCAGTTATACTGAGCTTCGAAAGGCTAAATTTATTAATGCCCATAAAATCTGACATCAAAATTATGACTGATGTTACAACTCAATACAAGAAGACAACTCCATCACATTTTTGAGTTTAATTAATCACAAACGAAGATTTTCAACTTAATCATAATTTCCATTCGTAAATTATCAAGTTTGACTTGACATTTTGATTGATAACAGCAAGATAGTGGTCATAAACAAAATCATTTATCATTTCTCAAAATTGAGAGCCGAAATCGGGGACGTCAAATATCCTACTAATACTTATTATAAATGCGAAAGTTTGAATGTCTGGATGTTTGTTACTCTTTCACGCAAAAACTACTAAACGGATTTTTATGAAACTTTACAGTATTATTGTTTATAACTCAGAATAGCATATAGGCTATAATTTATGACGATCTGTGACAAATGAAATTTCACGCGGGTGAAGCCGCGGGCAAAAGATAGTTTTTTAATAATGATTGTTTATAAAATAGCATCTTGTATTTTATAACTGTAATAATCTGAAACAATCATTAAACCTTAAAGTTTGTTAAACTTGTTTATTATTGTTATACTAATGAATATCGAGGGAACTTTCCAAAGTTTAGATTGTCGTTCCTTTTGTTATTTCGTTAAAATAATCAACTAAAGTTAAGAATCACGAGCATTTTATACTCGAAATTACAGATTGCCTTATTTTTTGTTCATTGCATCTAATCAACTTCGTACGAGAATAAGTAGAAATGTTTATAATTTGTGATGTAAAAACAAATTAAGGTTGAGTTGCACCACTTAACTTTGACAAAAAATTTAAAGATAACCGGTGCTTTTTGTATGGAGTTTGACAGATTTTTGACGTTTGTCAAAGTTAAAGTAAGATGGTGCAACCCAGCCTAAGTCTGATGGGCTGTTTAAGGCTAGATGACAAAATTTCAATTATTTGTCAAAAAAAAACAAAAGAATGTCGATATTAGTCGTTGAACAAAAGAAAGAAGTTTTTCTTGGTGGCCAGACCCAGTGTCGGGTCCGCGCAAATAAACACCAATATAATTCTCTCGTATCCACCATAAAACAATACTCCAAGTATAGGACTCAAGTAATATCGTAAAACGTGTTTCGCCGACTCGAGACGGTTGAAGCGTCTTGAGCTGAGCACGCTTCACGGAACTGAGGGTAGATTGTTGTGAGACCGCCTTAGGCTATATGGACCGGGTTATTTACAGGTAAGACGGGAAATTGTCTTGCTCTCGATTGTTTATTGAAGTTTACATTATACGTAACTTTCTACTGCTATTGTGGATATTTTTCGCTATTATTAAACTTGCTTATGGGCAACCGATATTANTATCCATCTAGGTTTTATTAATCTAAGTTAAAATCAAAATGGCACGATTTCAGCTGTCTTATCGCTATGAAACTTTGTCTTCCAGACAACCTAGAAAAAGGATAGTTTAGACAGACTTTAGTAAAGGGTTTTGGATAAAATAGATTGAACATAATATTCCAGTAAGAACTAGATAAAACCAGATCAATTAATGACGCTCTTTTGTTTTCCAGAACATCTCAGTCCGCCTGGAGGAAGTCGAAGCCAACGCCATTGTCGGAGGCAAGCGCGTCATCAGCAAACTGGAGGCCCGCATCAAGGACATGGAGCTTGAGCTCGACGAGGAGAAGAGGAGGCATGCGGAGACCATCAAGATCCTCCGCAAGAAAGAGCGCACGCTCAAGGAAGTCATGATCCAGTGCGAAGAGGACCAGAAGAACATTGCCCTGCTCCAGGACTCGCTGGAGAAGACCTCGCAGAAGGTCAACATCTACAAGAGGCAGCTGACGGAACAGGTACGTTTCATAGTGTGGAATACAAGCAACATGCGTATTTTAAGCAAGAAAATAAACTTACAAGATTTCATTCAATCCAAAATGGTGGCAAAAACAATTGTGATCACAAAATCAATTGCTGTTCTGACATTATTTTGTTTAAAGTTGATCGAAATTATTTCCTGATTATATTTGATCTCAAGATGCCATCATGTTAGATGAAAAAGTAGTAAAGATAGGACGCATAAAGAAAGGGTTATTCTAAAATGGCGCATTTTCGTTTCCAGGAGGGTGTATCCCAGCAGAGCGTGACCAGAGTGCGACGATTCCAGCGCGAGCTCGAAGCCGCCGAGGACCGCGCCGACGTCGCCGAGAGCAACCTCTCACTCATCCGCGCCAAGCACCGCACCTTCGTCACCACCTCCACAGTTCCCGGATCCCAGGTCTACCTGGTCCAGGAGTCCCGCGCTCTCAGCACGGAGTGAGTCACCAACCCACCGCCCCGCAACACCAGCATTTCTCTCCACCAGTCTATATCGGGGCGCAATTCCGGTCGGGTATAAGCCTAGTCGTTCGTTAAGTGATGTATGATCCCACCGGCAGATGGCAGCAGTTAGTTAACCACTCACTACCGCCATCTCTCGGGCAGTTGAAGCAATCGCGATCGGGACGGGCGCTCGGCGCTCCGGCGCGCCCTAAGCCGTGTCTCCACTCCTGGCCATACGTCGACCGTTCGTCCCGCTAACATTTTTTTATTGTAACGCTAAAACAACCAAATAAAGGAACCAAAAACTCTTCAAGCTTTTTTTTCAATATTTTTCTATTATTAAGGTCACCGGCACTATAGGTCACAATGTCGTTACGCACCGTGGTTTCGGTGCAGTAGTTTAAAATAAATGAATTATTTTATATTATTATTTATTAATGGTGCAATAATGTATTGTACGTTTGTAATTGTAACTTGTAATAATTAAAAATAAATGCTATTTATGTTAAAGAAACAAAAAAAGCAATAAAAGTTCGAAAGCAGTGTGTATTTAATTTCGTAGTACATAAAGATCTTACAACTTGTAACTTAACTGTGACGTAGAATACTGCCAATGTTTCCCGCCGTGCACCTTTTTAGAGAACCCACCTCCTTTAATTCATGTTCCACTGATCCCAAGAAGTAAAATTCCCAAAACATTAAGAACCTTTAATAATAATTTATCATGAATTACTAGGTACTAAATTGATAAATGAGCAGAGGGTAAATGGAACGATGCAGAATAAACCAATATACACAAAAGTGAATCTATAGATAAATACGTATTAGTACTGTGATACCTAATCGGTATTTTTGGTCATTTGGAATGAAAAACACTACATTGAAGATCCTAAGCTTCTTCTAAAACACAGTCACAGTTGCCTAGTTTATGAAAAAATGAAGAAGACGGAGAAAAGGATAACCTTTATGGCCTTCAATGGTTGGGTTTTTACTGGTGGTCAAGTTGTAGGTTGTGGCCACACAGATGTTGCAGCAATGGTAAAGAGTACCGTGCCTTAAAAACAGCTCACCATTAGAAAGTTTTGAATCATCCACGAAGTAAAATCTCTCGTTGTTTTACCAAGGACGTCAATCATTTTAGCTATATCTACACATGACAAGTAACAAATCATTAGGCAGATACTTTTCTAATTCTGACAACAGACTCCGAATAATTGCTTTTACCAACTTGACACTTAGCTGCATACATTTATATTCTACTGTTGTTCTTCTTAGGTGTAGTAGATCACTTATTACTTGATGCTTTTGTCGCGTCCTCGGCAGAATTTTGTACTAATTCTTACAGTACAGATATTTGCTTGGGATGACCTCAAACTTCAATTTGGGAGTCCTCAAATCTGCTTAAAATACTTCTCTTCCAACATACGCTTTGTATTCTTATAAAGGCACTGATAACATTTCGGAAGGTTCTTAAATAAAGGTAGCTCATGCCCGTTTTCACCATTGATCGCTAATTTTTAAGTGACCACTATGGTTACACATAACAGGAATTTAGTGTTCATAGGGGCCACTTAAAAATTAGGGATTGATGGTGAACACGGGCTTCAATCTGAGAAGTAGTCGCCTGGTCCAGATGGTCTCCGTAAAGGATCAATCTAAGACCTTTTAACATAACGCCAATAAGACGAGCCATAATCGTTATAAAAGTTGAGCCATTTTGTATTCTGGTCCTCATAAAGGTCGACTAAAAATAATCAGTTCTACTACTCGTCGGGGCTGGACAAAAACACAACATTGATGCTGTCAGAAAAATTGAAGAGAAACCTCATGACTAGGTTTCTCTTTAATTTTTCTTTGAAGATGGTTTCTTTGGAAGGTTGACATATCGTAGGTTTTGGACAACCCTTGGGCATTAATTCCAATAGCAGTAACAAAATATTGCATGATCATAATATTAACATTAATATGATTTTTTCATGTTGGATTGACTGTACTGCATGTTTGTAATATTATGTAATAATGCCTACTATTGATTGCAATGCCCAGCATGGTACATGTTTAGATCTAAGACACTACAATTTAACATCCAATGTACTACATGATGCAATGAATAAATGAATTTGAATTTGAATTTGAATTTGAATTTGAATTTGGTGTCGATTAGTCCTTGGAAATGCTAACAAAATACGTTTAAAGAACTTGAAAAGCCCTTTTTAAAATTGTGATAGTTGTCGAATCAAGAACCTATGCGTATGATCCTGAAAATAAACAGCAATCGACTATGGAGGTTAAAGTGTAAATGTTAATGTATGTTTTAAATTCAATAAATTATTTGTATTTGTATTTGTATGGAGGTGTTTTAAGATGAAACAATTCCAACAAAAGTACCATGCGCTCGGAGCTCTTTGAAAGTTACGGCCGCCTATTTTTCCGGAATATGATTATGTGGCAGAAACTTCGCTAGAGAAATTTAGAATGGTTAATTTTAAATAGTTAACAGCCACTTTTTTGCCAAAGTCTGCAGTAATAATAAGGAAACCTGACCACCACAGTCGAATCGTCATTCGTGACGAAAATGTGAGCTTTTACACGTCTCGTCAAACAACTGACTATTTGAACATTCAAAATATAAAATAAACAGGTCAGCAGGTACAAAAGTCTTACTTGGAATCTAAATACTTCTTTTGGTACCCATAAACTAAAATTAAATGCGTGGACAGCGATTTAAGTGGATAGAAGCAAGTCGATGTGCTCAAATGCTTTGGAGGTGCCTCGGGCTGAATGGAAAAAATGCTATGAAAAGTGTTTCCGACACATTCAAAAGTTACTTATATCATGAAAGAGAACACCAATAAACACAATGAATACCATTTTAATAATAAACTACTTTGTTTTCATAGTTAGGCTCAAGGCTCAACACTTAAATAGTGACCATGATCATCGTGCCAAGGAGAGGAAAGTCTTAATAATTTCTCTGATTTCTCTGGAAGATACAATCAGGAATAAGATAACTGAATTAAAACAAAGGTTATATTATGTAGCTGAAAAGGATAAAAGGCTGGACTGGTTTACCTAACCATCACCTAGAGTTCTAGAGTTGAAGCCACCTCTAGTCAAACTCAGTGCAGGATGCTCTTCAGCATGATAGAGCGATTTAAACGTAATATGGCTACTGGTAGGTAGTTGGAAGAAGATAAAATGATGGCTAACAGACAGTAATGACTTGTGTACCCACAGGTTTACGAGCACACACCTTTACACTCGAGTCTAACTAAGAATTATTATTGTGTAGCGACATCTATTAGTGGTATGTTAGAACACAAGATCAAGTTCATACTCGAAAGCGCTTGATCTTTTCCAAATAATGAAGTAGATGGCGTTTTACGCCAAACCTCTAAACCTGTCGATCTTTACAGTCCGAAGATTGATAGTTCAGTTATTCAATATGTTTGAGCCACAGTAAAGTGAGCCTAATAATATCAGCTGTTTAAAAATAAAGTATAGGTATACAACGGTAATTGAGGTGAGAACACCTTCACGATTATCCGGTTCGGGTTTAAAATAAGAAACTTAGACTCGAGCCAGGAACTAGACGTTCGCCTAGTTTCGGCGGTTCACGGGGCCGGTCATGATGACTAACTACAGCTCGTATTAGACAGCCAGCTCAAAAGAATATTACTCAAGAAATATTTTATTTTGGAGCCGAGTGATTCCGACACAGCAGAATAGGTCAACTTCCCGTGAATGTTGTGATAACTTTGCCCCGGGACAAACTTGACTTTCATTGGTTGGGTTTTTATTGGCTATCAAGCTGTAGATTCTGGCTACAAAGGAGTCCCTTGAGACAAACGATCATCAGGCTTCTTCAACCCGTCTACCTAGTCGCCCGCCTGTCTGTACTATATGCAGTCGTAGTCACAATTTCTTCGGGCACATCAGAGAGTCTGGTGGTTCAGGGTAAAATGGAGGGCACCAGGTCACGCGGACATTCGCCAACGCAACGGACATACCTGATTAAGATTTCTTGGAGCGGTCCCCTGCACTATTGCACCGAATTGATCACCAACAGGAAAAGATCGTAAAGCGAAACTCATTCAACCATAAGAATTCACACTCCTGACGACCACAAGCACTCTGTCAAGAGTGTAACGACTAAGACGAAGATTTGACTATGTATCTACTGAGAAGTTTAAAAAATGACAATTCAGAAACCGTTGTTTAAGTTGGTAAGGTGAGATGCATGCTGGCTGACTGGGCATATTCCCAAAGGCCCACGACTTTATTATTCTTCATTTCTACAAGAATCCACGATACTTATCCGAAGTACAGTAAAACGATACAAGAGCCGTTTTAAATACAGAATTTAACTTTGAAATATTCTCATGAACCCGCAAGAAAATCAATGCTTTTTTCAAATGTCGTGGATCCGTTGGAAATCAAAGTATGAACTTACATTTTTTGAAAACAATACCTTTGGGAATAAGCCACCGACTGACGCAATCATCAATGACCTGACTGATTTCATTTGTCTAGTCACTAAACCTACGTCACAGGTTTGCAGTGGGAGTATGAGGGCGAGTAGTAAATAATCATGTTGCCAAACCTACAGTAAAAAAGTGGTAGCACCGCTGAGAGATGCCGGTGTTGATAAACAGAGGAAAAAAAGTATGTGGTTTCATGAATGTAGGCTGGTTGTACAGGATGTTTATTGTTTTCAGAGCCTATTTATTTCACGTTAGACTTCAACGAAAGTTTATGTAAAGGCACAAAATACCTTGTAAGAAGCACTAGGGATTTATCGAGTAGGTATAAGGAAATATAGTACTCGTACAAATAGTTAATCATTAACCTTTTTTTACTAGATAATTATTTATCATCACTTCCTATGAAACAAAATCGTCTTACCTAAGTAAAAAAAAATAAACCAAAACTGCATTTTAGTACATCTTACAAGGGGGAAAACTGAGTGTTTTTGATACGAGTATATCGTGTACAATAATGGCGTACTTAATAGAAAATAGCCCCTTATCAGTTTACATATATTCCAATATTTGTGTTACACATTTTCATAATAAGTTTGACAGTGTGACAAAAAATGGGAAGTATCGAGTGCGTATTAAAGCTTTTTCGGAAGAAAGTTTTGAGTTCGCGCGCATGCTACTTTGGACGGATTCCGAACTCGAGACGTGCGTCTACGCAGCCGCCCGCCCAGTCGTCGCCCGCCCGCCCTGCAGCGCGCACTCTGTTCCGCTCCGAGCCAGGTCAGTCAACCTCAATTGTTACTCAAAATGCATCACAAAACCCCCAGTTTACCATCAAATCTACCTATCATAGACAACGCAGTCTTTATTATGAAGTTTTAATGCACATTTTATTTCCGTACCGCATAGCGGTGCATATTCAACTGAACGTGTAATTAACCAAAACGGTATTTTGTGTAAGCTCCCGAGGGAATCAAGTCTAACGATTCCGTTACAAAAATAATCGTTTGTGCTATTTTCTTTGTGATATAAGGAAGTGAATGTGAAATGCAGAACTGTTTTTATAGAAAGCGAGAATGTAAGTATTTATTTTTTGATGAAAATTGCAAGTCAAATATAAATGTTTTGCATTAATTTGTCTACCAGTGAAGTTTGTTTACTTTCGATTTTAAAAATCGTGTTTACAATCTTATCGTAGCGATTTACATTAATTTTATACGTGCGCAGGAGTGTGAGTAAATACGACAGTTTCCGTTAGGCTTCAATTTCACCCAGATGGAGACTTTTATATTCTTGCATAGAATATAATTAACAAATGCATAAATTTCAAAAATCGATGTTTATTTATTTACTCAGATTTATGTTTACAAAGTGTATTATAGATGAATAGGTCCACAACTAAGGACAGCGATTTAAAATTTTAAAGTTTTCAACTAAGAAGTTATTGTGTTTTTTGTATACCCCTATCATAATCATTTCTGAAATTGTATGTATCAATTAATTCAATTCGCTGTCAATATCTTTAATTTGCTGCTGCGACTAACTAAACAAAACAATGTGGTTAACGAAACTCATGAATTATTATTATTTCATTTCAGAACTTTGCTTGCTTTTATTGAAGTAGAGACATTAAAATTGGAATATTGCTAATGACATTGAATTTTTTTTCATTTATTAATTTAATTATTATAAGTACTTACTTTTTCTCATAGCGACACAAGTATCATAGATGTGCCAAATCAAATTAAAAATAAATCAACTTAATCTTATTATGTCAAAGAAATTGACGCATTACAAACGATATTTTACTCTGGTTTAGATTGGAACGTCTCCGCGAGTGGTCTTTAGAGTCAATAAATAGGATCAATAAACAATTCACTATAAAATTAAGACGCTATAAAAGATACGTTGCTATTGTTATTTACTATTCATCAGTGACATTTTGGCTTTCGAAGAATGTGATTCATATGGCTCTTACAATCCTCTGACTCTGACACAACTGTTTATTTAAAAATCTGATTGTTAGGTCTCATTATTTAAAATTTGAAAGAAACTAAATCGAATTTCAATTGTTTTCGATCAGGAATCTTAATTTAAATCATGCTTTTTATGTTTTGTTTTTTTTTTTTCTGTTTTTCGGGCTATACCAGCCAGGTTTAAACCGTAAACGATATACCTAAGTACGTACTAATTGTTTGAAAAATGAATGAAACTAAATTGAGTTTCAATTGTTTTAGAACAGGAATCTTAATTTGAATCAAGTTTATGGTTTTCATGTATTTTTTGTTTGTTTTTCGAGCTTCACCAGCCAGGTTTGAAACAGTCGCCAATGTGTGTCAAGTTCGTTACGTTTTATAATTGTTTTATGCTCACGCGCCGATCGTTATTTATTCTTGTTCCTCTTGTCTGAAAATTAACGAGCAGTGCAAACTTCGATTTCGGATATTCTGAAGATATCACTGAGTGGGCGGTGATTTAATCGGAATATTTTTTGTGCACATTGTATTTTTTTTGCCCAAGAGCGAATATCGTTATAATTTGATTTAGACATGAAAACGTTAGAAGCATTCGAACATTTAGTACATTATAGCCATAGCTGGGCATTAACTCGTTAATCCGTTAATCGTTAATTAACGAAGTTAACATTTCTATTAACGGATTAACTTTTAAGTTAACTTTAAAAAATGTTAACGGACTCGTTAACTTCCGTTAAATTATCCTAAGTCCGTTAATCGTTAATCCAGTACCTACTATTTACCAAAAAGATACAGCAGGCACGCTGAAAAACGCGTTCTGACAAGTACGTTCGGGCTTCCAGAACTTCCAGAACCCAAAACAACAGTTTTGGTAACCAGATCACTTTAAGACCAGTTTTCCTCAACCGATTGAGCTGAAATTTGGTATACTTATGTAAGTACGATGATTTTTTTTAGATTTTTCATTTTCTGATTTTAGAAGTTAGTAGGCAATTTTTTTTTCACTTTGGAAGCGTCTGTCACGCAAACTATTCGGTTTAGAAAAAAAATATTTTAGAAACCTCGATATCATTTTTGAAGACCTATCCATAGATACCCCATACACGTATTGTTTGATGAAAAAAAAAATTTGAGTTTCAGTTCTAAGTATGGGAAGCCCCCAATATTTTATATTATTTTTTTATTTTTGCATCTAAATATTCTGCGGTTCATAGAATACATCTACCTACCGAGTTTCAACAGTATAGCTCTTAATAGTTTCAGAAAAAAATGGCTGTGACATACGGACGGACAGACAGACATGACGAATCTATAAGGGTTTTTTGCCATTTGGCTACGGAACCCTAACAAGCTTTTATAATGAAATGCAGTTGTACTAAAACGAAAAAAATAATTGTACTTATGCATGGTTCAAATAATTTCGAAAGCTTGTAGCGCAAACATAAAAGAGGAATAAATTCCATGCGCGATACAAGCTTTCGAAATTATTTGAACATATTATTTTTTTCGTTTTATTATCATGTGTTAACGGATTAACGATTAACGTTAACTTGCGTTAACTCTTGCGAAATGTAACGTTTTAACGTTTAACGAAGTTAATTTTTTTATTAACGGTTTAACGATTAACGAAGTTAACTATTTGATTAACGGTGCCCAGCTATGATTATAGCTGCATTCTAGTGGCTGAAATATTTACTGTGAAAATAATATTTTTCATAAGTAAACGATGACACACATAACAAGTAAAATAATATTGATGTTTGTAATGAAGCCATACGTAAAAACATACTTTAATCATGAGACATATTTTATTAATTTTTATTGCATAATGGTCTCGTTTCTTACTTATAATTAGAATGTAAACAACTGCTGAAGATATTTTTCTTTTGATTTAGGGTGTCCAACAAATATTGCTACAGATGTTATTTAACTAGCTTTTCCCGCGACTTCGTACGCATAAAAATAGTTTGAATAATATTTCCCGTTTCTGTAACATTTTTCTTTATTGCTCCGCCCCTATTGGCTAGCTTAATGCATTTGAAAATTAATAACTATACGATAGAATTACAACATTTAAAATTAAGGCATACTCGTTTTATTAAGTTTCGAATAATGTATTATTCGTCTAGGATTTCAACTGATTTCATGGTCAACTGATGTAACGTAATTCAATAAATTTCTATTTATCTGTTTCCTATAGCTAACTTAATTAAAGTAGTCATATATTATATTGTTAAATAAACATACATAGCAAGACTTATTTTTCAAACTAATGAGTTCGTAATTTATATACACAACCACATTTGCTTCCTTAATTAAATGATTATGTTAGTTAGCAATTTCGTATACAATCATTATTAATCTGTTATAACAAACTAATTGCCGGTTTAATCACAACTTACGTGATCGTAGTCTAGTTATTACATCAAAATGTTTACAACCTATACGATATTGCAGTCATTCAATTTCTCTGTGTGTAGAGTAGACATGTTTCTTTCCTTATTCGCTGGGTGCGAAGTACTAGGTGGGGGAAACATAATCGATCGCAGCGCTCATGGTGGTCAAAAGTAGAAATAATGTAAGCTCTGTCATCCGATGTATCTGTCAATGGCAAAGCGATTCTACTTATTACATTTTAATATCATTAATTAATCGCATGAAAAGGGTCCTACTGGGAACTTAAATAAAAGAGTGGACTGTATTTCGATAAGGCTGGTTTAATAACCGTTTACAATTTGGAAATAACTAGACTATACAACGTGGTAGTACAAAAATGAGTCACAGTAGTTGTTGAGCACAGATGTTTGCCTTATGATGAGAGCGTGAATTATTGAACTCTGTCCTTGTTTTGTTCTTAATTCTTCTACATCTCGGACTTGACCAGCCAATACCAACAACTTTCCTTTAAATACGGTTTGTGGTTGGAATTTGATATTGTAACACTCACAAATCCGGTCTTCAAAACAAACTCATTTCGATCTGAAAACGATATTTAATTTATTACCAGCGATACAGGAACATTTAAATATATTTACTGTTATATAATGAAACCGTTAAAGTAGCTTTTTCTTTTTGTTTTTGCGATGAACACTATAATCCGGGCGTTTTCAAGGCGAGAGTGAATAGGCACTTACAGGGCAGGTATGTACCATCCTAGACTGCATCTCACTTAACACCAGGTGCGATTGCGGTCAAATACCTGCCTTGGCTAGCAAAAAAAAAAAAAAAAAAAAAAAAGTTTTACTGTAAAACTACAACTATAAATGAAGTAAACAAACCCTGACACAATCAAAATTAAACACACTTTTTGGACTTACCTCATTTGATTTGAATGACCAAAATGATTTCAAAACCTTTTTTCCATCCAAATCGTGGTATCACAACAACTTATTAGTCGAAAATATTTGTTATTTCTTCATTTCGATATTTTTTCACAAATATACGACCTAAATGTCAATGTGACAGAGCCCTCAAAGTTGTGGACGCTAGTTGGCGCTGTAATCGTGCACGGAGCCAATAACTTGATTATAAGAACTGATAGTAAAAAATGTACAGAACCTGAGAATTCTTGATGTTGTGTTTGCTTGTGTGTGAGCTTAAATCCTAAGTGTTAGGAAATCTTGTAAGAATCAAGCCTAAATCCTGGAGTTGACCATAAAATAGGTATTTTTTTTTAATATTTTCACAATTGTCACATCCAAAACAATATTTTTTTGAGTAATTTTCAGGGCTTTTACATTCTTCTATTTGACAGAAATAAACAGAAGTTTTATTTTTAAAAATATTTCATACTATTAATTTGAACAGAATAATTTGAGTTTATTTATTAGAACGAAATACTTTTAATTTAACTGGGCATTAAGCTGGACCCAGTCTTTCTTACTTTTAGTTGTGTATGCCTTAAATAAGTACATACAATGACCTAATTTATTACTTATGTCGTTATTTTGAAATTCTCTACAATACTCGTCTTTGTATACAACTTTCATAATTTTTAATGACAAGGATTTAAGATGTGAGTAGGACTAGGAGTACGTATAATATGATATAAATTTTATCCTACAAAAGCTTAGTGCACGTAAAAATCACATTCAACAACAATCCATTAAATCTGTCTAGATGGAGAACGGATATAACATGCAGGCATATATAAAAATAATTTGTCAGGATGTCCCAACGCCGCTCGTCTATTTTTAGCCGTATACGCATTGGTGCAGCGCGCGCGCACCTATGCACGTGGTGCGGGCTCGTAGGATGTGTGAAATGTACGGACGAGGGCACATCAAGCGGCTTATTCCCAAAGGTCCACAGCTCTATTGTTTTCAAAAAATTCAAGTTCATACTTTGTTTCCCAAAGGGCCACGAGTTCCACGACATTAGAAATAACAAAGTGTTTTCTTAGTTACTAATTTCAAAATTCAAATTCACATCTTTATTGCGTAATATCAGTGACAATTTGTAATGGTGGAAATTACATAGACATGGGCTTACTTACCTAGGAGGTACCTGTTGCAACAGAGTAGGTGGATATGAATACATTATACTGTGTATAAAAAATCACACTACAATAGTTTAGTTCAAGAATAGAAAGAAAAGTCAAAGAGAAGAGAAAAAAGTGACAGTCGTTAAACACAATAAAAGAAAAAGAAGTTTCTCGCCGGCCAGGCGAGCGACCAAAGAGTTTGGTGGAACCTTTGCGACCGTTTACAATTTTTCCTAGGCCGTCATTAGACAGACATGTACGTACAGTGTACATGGACCCTGTGGGAAAAGAAGAACAATAAAGTCGTGGACCTTTCAAGCTAACACTGTATTCTTATTTAGTTGTAATAAAGGCAATTTTGCAACAAAATGGATGGTACGATGTGGTGATGTTGCTTGTAGTACACAGCATATTAGACTCATTTATTGGCGCAAAATCGACCTTATCACAACTACATTAGATACCGCAGTGTTTACCTCGATGACCCGTCTTCTGTACGCGCACTACACGGTGTTTAAACTGAACTATTGTAAACCTTTGTCAAAATCCTTTCAGTAGCTTGTGCGTGAAAGAGTAACAGACATCTATCCATCATCATAAACTTTCACATTTTTAATATGAGTATAAGCATAGAAGTATTTTACTACTATATGAAGAGATACTTACATGGACTCTATTAATTGTCTTCAATTTGATAGAGTGTTTTGATTATTCATAGTAAATATAAATACACAGATGACCTTAGATTAATAACCCGCCAACTACTACGTACAACATGCATTATGTATAAAAAAAAGCTTTTGCCCGCGGCTTCACTCGCGTGAAATTTAGTGGCACAAATCGGCATAAATTATAGCCTATATGTTACCCAGGGTTACAAACAATAATCTGTAAAGTTTCCACAAAATCCGTTCAGTAGTTTTTGCGTGAAAGAGTAAGAATCATCCAGACATCCAAACTTTCACATTTATAATATTATGATGTTTCTCGTCATTTCATACTTATCAGAAATTCTACATTTGAGATAAAATACTTATTCGGAGTCGTGTTGGTTTTTTCTACAGATACAAGTGTTTTAATTTACTTTAAAGTTTAAGCGTAGAATATTTTAAGGCTGAGTTGCACCACCTGATTTTAACCGGCACTATAACGAAAACCGCTTTTTTTTGTATGGATGAGTTTGACAGACTTTAGACGTTTAAAGTTAAAGTAAGATGGTACAACCCAGCCTAGGCATAAAATATTTCAAAGGTTCAATCACGCCAAATCTAATTAGGCAAAAAAAAAATGTTGTAGCAAGTACTAATTATTTGTACATTACGATTATCAAAGGTATTTCTCTGAATCTTCGTTCAATTATAAAAACATTTAACATGCGCGCACGCAGTGATGTTTTACGACTGAAACGCTCGACATAATTTCGATTATGATTGAAACGTGTTAGAATAATAGTAAAGTTTTATCCGACATCACTACGAATCAATTTAATTTAATTTTATTAATTTAGACGTGTTAGTAAAGGCGTAAGTGAATTAGTTATTACTTGTTGTTTATGAAAAAATACAAGCAGAAATATGCTACACAGAACACGTTTATTCGACTATCAGATCATGCTTTGGGCGCTCAGATCAGATCCTATTGCATTGGGACTGATACCATAAGTGTAAAATTCTGAAAAAGAATAAGAAGGATGCACTTAGTTATCACAACAATTACTTAAATAAACAAACTATTTTTCTGCGAGCACGTAGAATTTTGTCCAATTACCCCGAGCTACCCATATTGACCAAGCTACCCACACAGACATACAAATACATACAGACTATACAAATGTTCATTGTACAGTTTGTTTCGATCGGTTTGTAAATAAGTCTGATATGATAAGACAAGTAGGCCACTCCGGTAACGGGAGGCTCTCGAGTAATCAAGGATATTTCAACAAGTCTGCATGAATCGCTTGAAAATATCGCTGATTTATTTATACATAACATTACATTATGGTAAATGTAACAGCGTATGAAAGCAATATTTGTCGGTCTGTTCCGTCTTAGCTGGTGGACAGATTTTGTCAAGACTTTATTGAAATGTAACTGATGGTATTATTGAGCAAATAGGCTACAAAAAACTAAGAACATTTCTAAACCATGGCATTTTCCAGGCACTGACTTAATTTTTATATGAGAAATTCTAGATTACCTTGTAAGAAAGGTATTTATTGGCCGGTCAATAAACGACACTTCTGCATTTCCTTATAGCACAGCCATTTAGTAACTGTCATCTGCATTATATGGATTTTTGTCTTTTGCATCTCGATAGTTAATATTTCACCGTTTTCTTCAGATTCTGGAAGACGTCATCCAAACACGCCAGCTGGTCGAGCCGGGAGGCCGCCGGCTCCCAGTCGCTGGGACGTGCTCGTGACACGTAGTTCTTGGATATAAAGTAAGTATTTTTTAAAGTATAGGTTTTCGTATAAGCTATTGAATGTTGCATTGCACAAATTGCCCCCCGTAACTACCTTCTAAGCTATTTAGGCTTGTGTAACGAGTGGGTTCACCACAACAGTTTGACAACGGCGGGGTTTGAATCAGCGTTTTTAAAATCTCGAGTCAACCAGTCCAAAATCTTCGCAAGTTGTAAGGAACTGCTAGGTTAGTTTAAAAAAATGATTTGGAAAGGATGCTCTCATTCTTCACCATAATTACTTTGTAGTTAGTTCTGGCTTCAAGAAATGTCGTCCACTGCTGGACAAATCCCTTCATCATAGAATTCCAAAACGACCGGTCCTGCACTTCCCGCAACCAGGTGCCTCCCGCCACCTTTACCATATTGCTGTTCCACCGAGTGAGCAGGAGGCCTGCCTTACTACGTTTTCCGATCAGTGGTCGCCACTCGAGAACTTTTCTGCTCCAAGGGCTATCATATAAACTTTTATATCGTGTGAATTAGATTCAGTCCCCACATCTCCGTTGCTCTCTTTTACAAGCCCGAACCCAGCAGCGTGTATAAGTCCGGAAGCTGTGGGAACTAGGTGCTCTGACTTGGCAGGTCTGGCAGTCCAACTTGGCCAGCACAGCTCTCGGAAGCTGGCTGCCCCCATTTCGTCGGAGGCAACAACCGAAGTCTTTGACACTTGGCGAGAGTAGGTCATTTATTTCGGTGGTACACGTCCGTAAATAAATCTAACAGTTACTATTGAAAGACGTTCGTTTAACGTAAAGGTAAACGAATGACGCAATAAATTTAGTATGCTATTAATGTTATTGCTAACCTAGGTTCAAGAGGCTAAAGCATCTAGAATAATTAATATTCTTCTGAAAACTTTGGTATGTGCAACATATTGTACCTACCGAGAAGTGAAAACGCTCGATAGTCTGAGTCTGAGATCATCAATCTGCAGTTTTAAACTGAAACAAGAATGAAATTGTTTAATTTTATTTGGGACGAGATTAATGTAATAGCCCAGCCGATTGCAGGTAACTAATTATAAATAATAAGGCTAGAAAATGAGGGCAGAACCTTTACTTGTCCGACCTTCAAAGATCGATGACTGTGCTTCGTCCGAGTTAATCAAAACAAACAAAATTGTTATTATTTAGTTAACCCATTGAAACACTTTTTTCATTCAGATGTTTTCCAGATCCTTACCAAACAGTTCTCAAAAGTATGAAAAATAAATGTTTGGTCGATTTTTTTCTAAATTGTCTTATTCCGGTTCATTACAGTTACCATTCATCATTCATTTCTTTCAAGTGCAATCTTAAACCAAATCCGAACAGAAGTAGTTTTTTGTATCCCAACTTAATAATATTATAAATGCGAAAGTAACTCTGTCTGTCTGTCTGTCTGTTACGCTTTCCCGCTTAAACCTCGCAACCGATTTTGATGAAATTTGGCATAGAGATATTTTGAGTCCCGGGAAAGAACATAGGATAGTTTTTATCCCGGTTTTTGAAACAAGGACGCGCGCGATAAAGTTTTTCTGTGACAGACAAAATTCCACCCGGGCGAAGCCGCGGGCGGAAAGCTAGTGTTTAATAATTGTAACTACAGCAGCAACATGTGTTTCAAATGGTAATAGGTTTCATGATGATAACTCTACAGCCTATGTGTTATATCACACTCAACATCAAATAAATCGCACCTTCCGCGACGCGAACTTTAAAGATTTTATTCTGACACAATCATGGTGCCCAAACAATATTGGTGTTATTTGAAAGCCCAATAAATAAACTTAAAGAAAAACACATCATTTTTTTTATAAACAATTAACAGGTACCATAAATGTGACTTGAAAAAAGGCCTCACTTTGGGCTCACCTCTGGGATCAATTAGACCAATTTTTGTGGTTATAAAACCAAATAATGATCTTACGTGTCCTTTTTAACAGATGGATAGTGATTAATCCCAATTAACAGTTTTATAGGCATAAAAGTTGGCTCAAGCGTAACTACCTATTTTTTGAAGAAGTGACTCTGGATCCTTCTAAAAACACATTTTTGGGGTAAAAACCTTTCCTTTAATTAAATGTTTAATGAAAAGTTTAGAACTAGGCTTTCAAATGGAACCAATGTTGGTGGGAAGTGGGGATGCATACGTTTGAGAAGTGCTCGTTGCGGCAGGTGCGATTTATTTGATGCCGAGTGTAGTTGTTGGCTTATTCATTGTCAAATTAGCTTTGTACGTCTGTGGGAATGGATGCGGGCAGCTTAGGACCGGTCGTTATGGAAATCCTTGAGGGACCAGCCGTGGACGTCGTTGGCTGAAATGAACAAACCTATGATACCATAAGTGGTTTAGTTGTTGCTTAAGTTGTTACTGTCACATAATGTGAAACCTTGGTTTTCTCAAAATAAATAATTCGTGTGTCAGGTATCTGTCCCATGAAAAATAGTCCAACCCAAGGTCATGATTGTCAACAATGCTGCGATTATCGTTTGTGCAGTATTCCTTCAAACATGAGTCAATAGAAATTACTCCTCAAAACAGTTTCACCTAGACAACTCGTCGGCTCAGGAGTACAGAAATAGCAGCCATTCCTTCACAGTTGAAATATTGCATGATTAGCACGGGTGATAATGTTTGTTCTTGCATTGTCCTATTTTTCCTAGAAAACAACACAGGCGTTTAGGGCGGCGAATTTACTGTGTAACTTGACTGTTGTCCAAAATTGGGACATTGTGAAACTTCGATATTCAGAACAAAAGGGCTACTAACAATACTTAGTTATTATTTCCGATTTTTGCCACTTGACTTTTTAGAATCGTTGGACTATATACATAGAATAGTAAGTAGACTTGACAGGTACCTAATAGCCATTTTTGCAATGCAAATTACTTATATTCTTTTTGATTAAAAAAACATCTAGGAGTACAGATCCATTGAAAAATACCTAATTACTTCTCTTAGGATAGAATAAATTCCAGTGCAAAATCAAATCTGATTCTTAGAGTACGATGAACTTCAACCGGGATAGTTGATTTTGCAATTTTTATTTCGAGTATGACCAGACCAGACATAGTTGTTAGTTGGTACACTAATAAAATAGTTGTGCAATAGAAAGCTAGCTTTATGTCTTAGGAAATAAAATTGAAACTGCATCTGGCACACTTGAGTTCTATTGACTTGATCGATTTAGGCCAGTATACAAAGTTTAACGCGCTATACAGATAAATTATTATTTAACAGAGTGACTTAGAGATTAGGTCATCCATAGGGGCATTATGTCGTTTTTGTTACTATGGTACTGAAAAATAAGCGCTCCATATAAAACAATTGATATTATTATACACTGGCCTGCAATAGCAAAATTTATTTTTTTCCTAAGCCATAGCAAAACCATAGATAGGTAGAGATTTAAATAAAATAAAATATGGCAAATCTTATCAGCTTTCTTATATATTAACAAACCTTTTCCTTTCAAGCTTTTATTTTATTTCGGAAGTATATCTTTTGAACCTACAAAGTTATCGCAATTATAAAAGTGGGATACTTACTTTTGTGACCAGTGTATGTTGAATTGTTGACGGAGCTAATGAGCTATGTTAATCTACCTAAAGAATATTAGTTACAATTGCCAGGGTAGACACGATGATGCAAAAATAGAGTCTTTGAATCATCCGTAGAGCAAGTACTGAATGGCCTTTATAGAGTTTAATTTACAATGTTTATGAAATAGTTAATAATGAGAGAACAATACTGTTGAAAGGCTAGACGGAAGTTTAGAACATAATTTAATCCGAATATTGATGTTGTTTTGCTATTTTCGTTCACACAAAATGATATAATTGAGTACCTAGCTGTATACAAATTAGCTAATACAATACGCGGAAATATTGCAAAAACTAGCGGATCTGGTCGTCAGCCAAAACATCAAGGCACAAGTTTCTTTGAGTATTCATAAAAGAGAAAATATTTTAACATCAACCGACGTCAAGGGAGGTACCTATGATATTTAATTAAGGACTAAAAAAATACATATTATTATTACAAATGCATTTTAACGTTATCTAAGTACTTATTTCCTAGACATGTTTATCCTCAGAGATATAATAATTGTCATTTTCAGACCTTGACTGACAAATGAACACTTCTATATTTTCTTTTGCATTTATCATCGCTTGCCTCTGTAACTGACGTATCTTTAATTTTTTTTTCGAAACTGAGTTTTCTACACCATATTAATCAATTTTGCAAGACGAATCGATCTGTCCAATCGCCTGAAAATTTTGCAAAATGTCAGTTAGAGAGGCAAGCGACGTTATGACAGCTTTAAGGCGTAGCCGTTCAGTTTCCATTCTTGACTCAAAAGTTAGACTTTACTCGTCTATAGACACAACGTGATATGATGATCGGAACAGTCAAATAAAAAATGATCTGATATCTATGAAGTCAGTCATGAGCAGTCTGCCCATCATATCTTGTGGGAGTGCGATATTTCGAAACATGAACGTGACATAATGCTTAATTCAATGCAACATACATCTGTTTCTGCAATATATTACACCGATCTTGTCGCGTCAAGGGTAAATTTCCGTGCTTTTAAGTGATTTTGTGAAAAATATTATTGGCAGGTGAAAAGTATGGCAGGTAACTAATAGGTCATATTGTCCGTGGAATATATTTTCATAAAGGTTACTATACTAAACCTTTGTTTGTCACCTGTCAACCGCTTGGCAATGGAGGGAAGTTGAACCTTAACTTCGAACTCTTCTTATGTTCTTCTGATTAATTTCGTTGCGGGTCCAATGACAGTTTAACTTTCCCCCGGGAACTTGGCCTTCACTGATTGGATTGACAGTCAAGCTGTAGACCTACACAGGAGATGCAATGGTGGGGACGAGAAGTGGCAATAGTCCCGTTGATATCTGTGTATTTATAATTGTAATGTTTAATTCGCATTTGAATTTCCTGTTTTATACTTCCAGGTGACGTGAGTAACGCTCATCACAATCGAAGAAAGGAATCCAAAATGTCTTTTAGAAAATATGTAAGTTAAATTCTATATTTAATTACTAGTTGCCTATTTAAAAATAACATTGATGATTGGTTACACGCTAAGGCTGAGTAGCACCATTTTACTTCAACTTCAACAAACGTCAACAATCTGTTAAACTCCATACAAAAACACCGGTTACCATTAAAGTTACCGTTAAAATATGGTGGTGCAACTCAGCCTAAGTTGTATCTTAGACTATTTTGATTTGATGAGAAGTATCAACAGTAAAAATCAACTCAACATTCCTCAACTTAGCCACTATTAATCAGTCTACTAGGCTTAACATATCTAAAATAACAAGGCGCTCAATAAAATCCCTCCCTGTATATTGTATTTTATTTTGCAAATATTGACATCCTTATTTCCTAAGTTGGAAAGTCTAATTTGGAAGGTTATAGATTATCCGTTAACTTTGCGCCCGTGCCGCATTCCCTTTGCTATTTATAAAACAGTGAAAGGCACAACATTATGCGTGATAGTGTTGAATGAAGAATATGGATTTGGTGCTATATTAAAATGGAAAATTCTCTTTTTTAAATATAGAGATCCGTTTATGGAATATGGTAACGAACTAATCGAAAATCAACTTTATAAACTTATCTTTGAGCTGTTGATCACATTCATAACGTTTATCTACTAAGGACACGTGAAATTAATGTGTAGAAGTCGGAATGATGCAGTCAAAAAGTGTACCGTAATGATATTTCGTAGTTTGGTAGAGTCCAAAGCTTTTTTGGGAGACTTTTTCCCGCCTAATTACGAGTATATGATAATGAATTTAAAATAAGCGGCACGATGTAACCAGAGTTGCAACACATCATGTTCTGGCTATTATTATAATCCTTTAATTATGTTATTAAGAAACAAGTGGTACAAGAGACAGAAAATGAAATTTGTTAAAATTATTAATTTATCCTTTTTCAGTATGATACGAGTAAGTCCTCAACGTACGGACGCAGCCGAGATTCGTCAGCTACTCGTGGGTCGACCACCACCAGCACCGACCGACCGACCTCGGTCACTGCTAAATATCTCAGTCCGACACCATCCTACAAATCCAGCATACCTATCCTTCGTGGTGAACGGTCAGCCAAAGATGAAACACCCATCTCAGCTATCGCTAATAAATATGCAAATTATGGAAAAAAAGAAAAATCAACATCAACCTACGAAAAAAAAGACTATACCAAACTTACCGTTCCAGTAACCGGAAAAAGCAGAGAAACCAGTCCAGTTTCAACTTCTTCAAAATACAAACAATACTCTACTACCAATGGCAAAAGCAGAGATGTCAGTCCTGTGTCAAAGTCGAAGTACAGTATGCCTAGCATCAGCGGGAAAACTAGAGATCTCAGCCCAGTCACATCACTGTCAAAATACAGTTACACTCGACCGTCAAGGCATTTGAGTCCCGGCAGGCAGACGACCAAAACTTTAAAAGATAAAAGCCCAGAATCCAGTCCAGTAAATCGAGACAAAGACATTCCAAGCAAGACTGACAAGTTATCAAGCTATAACAGCTTGACTAGCTTGTACTCTAACAAGCATCCTCGAACTTCAAGTTACAGCCGACCTGCTTCAAGAGCAGAAGTAAAGCCCGATATTACGATAAACAGATACGCGATAGCCAATAGGTTATCTTCGAACTACTCCCCTACAATTAAACTATCTTCTGTATCTCCTGTAAATCATAGTCCTACGTTAGATAGTCCTAAATTTGAGACTGAGAAGTCAGTATCACCTTCAATATCAATTAAAGAAGAAAAAGAAGATAGCCCACAGAAAGAGATTAGTTTAAATAATCATAGTGAAGAGCATTGTGAAATTCAAAGTGCCGAAGGGACTGAAATTGAGACAGAAACTGTAATTGTCATCACTCGTCATACATCGCCCACACCACCAGGTTCATCAGCTTATGTCCGGAGTAGAAGAGCGGATATGGCAAAAACCACAGAGAAAACTATTACCCGTTCAAAAAATAAACCAGAAATGATTGACAAAGAAATACAATCAGATCGCTTAGATGATCCAACAAGATCTAGTAGATTCGGCAGTACTGCAAGATCAAGTGTAACTAGTTGGTCACTTTATCCCTCAAGTAGTTACACAGGCTACGCAGGAAGATATTCTACTAAATACACAACATCTAGGGACAATTCTTCAGGTAACTCTTACAATGATAGAAACAGTCGAAGTACTAGCACAGAGCCACCATCTAAAGATAGTATAAGTGGAACCCATTCTCCATCTGAACATAGTAAAAGTAGTCCTATAATTAACAATACCATACCTGAAAATAATAAAGAAGTTTTTTATTATGAGGACAAGAAAGATGATGATAGCAGTAATATGTCAGAAATGATAATAAATGTGAATTTCACATTAAAAAGCCCCAAAATTCTTACAACAACAACAACTGAGTTAGTTTCCCCAGAAGTAACAATTACTAACAGTCTTTTACCACCACAAGCCCCTAAACCCGAAGGTGTTGTAAAAACAAAAAAGAAGGTCCGAAAATCAAGCACAGATTCTTCTTCAGACTCGTCTTCGAAGAAAAAAGTTGTTAAGAAAAGGAGTAAATCAGTTAGCTCCTCAGATTCCGAACAGGTCAGTGAAGTAAGTGAGAAAAAAAGTGGTAAAAGTTCCTCATCAGTTTCCCCATCTAAAAACATTAATAAAGTTCCTTCAAGCAGTAGTTTAACGAAATCTAAGCCAAAATCTCGAGAAAGTAATAGTCCAGAGTCAAGCATGACGCAGTCTTCTATGAGTGAAGATGAAGCAATGTCTCGATCTAAAACTATCGATGTTTCTAGGACATCTGCTGATGAAACTTCACTGCCAACCGATGTGTCTCATAAGCAATCTTCACCACAACCTCCACAAAGAAACGATGAGGGCACTGAAGAAGCAAAGTCTTTCCTTATACGAGCTTTGGGACCGGTCGCAACTTTGTTCAAATTAAGACACCAAGAAAGTAATGAAAATAGTCATTGGCCAGACATTTCTAGCTCAGATTCTACTGGGAAAGACGTTTCAAACATTTTGACCGAAAGTGATAAATCGAGTAAAACCAAAAATATCATTGCTTCCAATGATGATGGATCAGTTCATCTGAAAAAAATTAGACATGTAGAATCTGGTGAAAGAGCTTGGTGGTTAGATAGTAGTTCCAATATACCAGAAGGAATAGAAAGATTATCTCCGCCTCGCAAATCATCCAGTGATAGCGACAAAAGCGAAAAGTATAATTTTTATAAAGTGCGACATATAGAGTCAGGAGAAAAAGATTGGTGGCTTACTAGTAATAGTAATGAAACTTCATCTCTTAGCAATAATAAAGAGGTTCCAAATAGTTTGAGTAAATCAAATAGTTTGAGTAAATCAAATAGTTTGAGTAAGTCAAATAGTCTGAGTAAATCAAACTCTGATCAAAAGCGGTTTCCTTTGGGTCGGATTCGGCATATAGAGTCTGGTGAAAGAGCGTGGTGGTTATCAAGCGACAAAAACATTCCAGAGGGTATCGAAAAATTGCCAACTCCCACTCCTCCAGATGAGTCTGATTCCTCTGACTCGGAAGAAGTGCAGGTATATATCAGTCCAACGCACATACCTCCATTCCCATTACATCTACCAGACGACGAACCTTTGGGTGACAGAAGAAGTCCTGAAGGCTTGGAAACACCTAAAGAAAATGAAGATTTCATAGGACGTCACTCACCATACGAAAACAATCATCAATATCGTAGAAGAAATATGTACCAGAAAGGAATGGAAAAATACATATCGCGATACACAGACATCGATGATATATTGGGTACTTCGGGTCAAATATACAGTCCATTTATGGATTCTATTCTAGCCAGAAGGACAGGGATGCCTTTTGAAGAGGAATGCGAGGAAATTGACCCAACGCAAGTCAGGATACACGACAGCACCGCACAGATGCCGGTCATCACTAAACTTCGAGGAAGGTAAACATATTTTTTTTATCATTATTAATTATTATTATTAATTTTGCTCTATCTTGTATTGATTTCCTAATACACAAATTTATTTTTAGTAGACTCTAAGCAATTCAGTAGGGTCTAGTCATAAAACAGGTCACACCCACACCACAGCAATTCATCGTAATGTTTGACAGTTCTATGTGTGTAAAATATAACCCGTTGTCCAACTAAAGAGGCTTTATAGGTGACCTACTAGGCTGCTTCGATGACAAAATTATTCTTAGGCCGAGGCTTAGCTTTTTTGAGGATGCTGATAATGGGCTCCTAAACCTATTTTTCGCAATACATACTTGAAACTTGTATAATATCTATCATAAATAAGTAAATTTTATACAAGTCAAATTAACTAATTTTACTTAGTTACTGATTTGAAGACAGCTGTAGTGTGAACGTAATGATTGTATCACAAAGCAATCATTTTGGCACTTTTAGTATAAACAAAGTAGGTTCACTCCTCGCTTAGCTTTTCTTTCGTTTTCAAAGTATAATGTTACGCTGATGGTTTTAACTAATCATAATTTATTTTTCAGAAACGAGATAGCTAACTACAGAAACGAAGATGAGGTAAGTGGATTTATTTATCTTTTAGATAGAAGAGTTAGTTTTTCAAATTACTTCCTGCAGCACAGAGAGAGATAGTCTTTGTAATGTTAGGTGATAAAACGTAGTCTGAAGAAGTGTTATAATCCGCATACTACTGAAAGTAGTAATCGCCGTAACTCAAAGCTATGGTTATTCACCCTTTTTATACAATTTCAAACAATTATCTGTGGTTGAGGATTTCGCGTGAAGCTCGTTTCCACTTTCAGCCTGATCACCACTTCCCATCTGGTGAAATGCAGGCTAAGAACTTCTGTTGTAGGTAAAAAAAAATATCTACTAAATAAATTATGGAATTTTGAAATTTCCGTTTTATCGTATCTTATTTCTAAATCAATTTAAAAGATAGCAACGCGTTTGAGTTCAATATTCATACACACTAATGCTTTCGATCAGCTTTCTACGTTGCCTACAACATCCGCTAGAGCGAGCTGTGCATTTATTTTGTGACAAAGGTATAATTTTCTGACGAACTGTATAGTAATTATTTCTTCATTGTTATTTATTATGTCTATACGTTACTTTATCTAAGGTTTTATCCAAATCCCTTTTATCTGTATCAAAACTAATATCCATACAATCGATTCATCTATCCCATGTTTTTTGCTTATGCTTAAAAGCATTACTATAATCTGGTATTACTTACTTTAATTGATGGGAACAAATGCTTAAGGGTCTATTAAAATAAATTGACTGGAATTAAAACGTCAGCTGTGCGCGCAAAAACAGGTAGATGTCGAGCTAATAAGAAGCAGAGGGAAAGTTCGGATCGTTCTCCGAGCGAGGGTTCAGTACATTTAAATTTATTTACACCATAATTCAAGAGTAGTCAAACATTTTTAACTTCGTTAGCCTAATTGACGTTTAAGTTTGAAATAGAAACACATATTTATGTTACACATAACCTTTTCGCGTTCATAATTTAATGGGCCATAAACGTATAATTATGTACAGTAATGATTGTACTATGGCCACAAGCTACACATGAATCACTTCAGCGACGTTAATGTTGTTGGTCTTCGAAGTATTTAAAAAAATATACACACAAACAATAAAAAATATCAATAAATAAGCTTCGCGAAATTCTCACGTCCGAAATACCGCAGTGTCTCAAGTCAAAAGTGTTTGACCAGTGTGTGTTGCCAGTGATGGTGTATGGCTCTGAGACGTGGTCGCTTACTATGGGCCTCATAAGAAGGCTCAAGGTCACCCAAAGAGCGATGGAGCGTGCTATGCTCGGAGTTTCCCTGCGTGATCGAATCAGAAATGAGGAGATCCGTAGGAGAACCAGAGTGACTGACATAGCCCGCAGAATCGCTAAAATCAAGTGGCAGTGGGCGGGGCACATAGCTCGAAGAGCTGACGGCCGCTGGGGCAGGAAAGTTCTTGAGTGGCGACCACGAGCTGGAAGACGTAGCGTGGGCAGGCCTCCCACTAGGTGGACCGACGATCTGGTGAAGGTCGCGGGAAGTACCTGGATGCAAGCGGCGCAGGACCGGTCTTTGTGGAAATCCTTGGGGGAGGCCTTTGTCCAGCAGTGGACGTCTTTCGGCTGAAACGAACGAACGAACGATTCATAAAATATTAAATTTCAATTATAACATCTTTTGAAATTCAGTCTATTCAGATACAAAATATTTTTAGAAGGTTTTTGAATAGATTATATCGAACTCCAAAAACGGGTCTGGAGATGTAGGTTGGCGAGTACATGGGTCTTAGTATGTAATACCTACTAAAAGAACAAAACATAGTACTGGTGCATAAGTTCTTTAGTACGCTCATGAATTATTTGGTCGTCTTAAATAGTCTAAATTGGTTTCGCACAATGCATGTGAATAACCCCTTTTCTCTGAAAACTGGGGGTTTAACATCCGTGCCATTGTAAAAATTTTACTCAATACTCAAATATTTATTGCTGACCATCTTGTTATACACAATTTGTTGTTACAATGCAATGCAATGTCAACTCAGCCACAACATGTACTCGTAAGATGAATGGAAAACTTTTTTCGAAGCACATAACAATGACATTTACTGCGCTTTACAATAAATATAAATTTTATTTACCTACTTTTCTTTTTTTAACCATCAAACTTCTTGGTACTTTACCATTGATATTACAAGTATTATGTATTTGTCTTTCATTTTAGCGAACTTATAATAAAATTTATTACTTTTGATAGGTATTCAGGAAACCAATACCATGATCTTCCAATATCACCAAGATTCAGTACCTACTACTATGTCAGTCAATTGATATATTTTTTATGAGCTATCAAAACGCGATTTTCCATTAGTTTTTGTATACCTACCTATTAAAATAATATGAAAAAGTTAAGACGACACTTTTGCCAACACTATTGATGTGTTGAAATTCAGTAGTTTGAAATTTTAATTTATAATGTCAACGATGAATATACGATAAATTATAATATAATGCAATAAATTACACATAATATTAACCTAATTACGTGGCTTTAAGGAGAGCAGAGACATAATTGTAATTACAATATTTCATAAATAGAATATTTCCGAGACGTCTTAGTAATTATCGATAAACTACGAGTACTAAAAGGTACGCCTGAAAACAATAAAAAGGAAAAAAATACTGAATTACTAAATAAGTTAACTTAACTACATATTTCAAAGAATCTACTGATCTTATTGAAATCGGTGGTGGTAGAGAAATATGTGAACTTTCATACAAAAAATATGCATGAAAATATGAGATTTGGTCAAGCATATTGCTTGAGTGTTCAAACAGTAGCATTTCAGCGTTCACTTTTTATTATGTAGCAGCGAGCGAGCTTTTTGTGAGCGCAGGCGCTGCGAAGCCTTACATCGCGCCCGCGCATCGACTCGACCACTGAACCGAGATGGACATCCTTGCCTTCCCCTATGGGAATACTGGGCGGGAGTGGGACAGCACTACGCCCGCTCTGACATTTCGAAACGGTGACGTCATGCGCAAAGAGTGTAGAGCGGACGATGTATTTTATTACTTTTTGGGACCCACAAATTTTGTTACGGTCAATAATATGATTAGGGATATGAAGTAACAGACGTTTTTGCGAATATAAAAAAACTTTGCGAATTGGGCTTATTTATGGCACTTAAAATTGTTAAAATTTTGATCCCGGTCGTTCAAATATTTATAATAACAATTTTATACAGCAATGGCAATGACATGTACAATGTACATGGGCAAGTAGAGGCAGTGCCTAAAAACAGTGGTTTGAAAATTATTTATGACTTTTTAAGTGCCTACTCTTTTCCTTTTAGTTTTATTAGAAGAAATAGTATATTCAATACTATGTTATTGTTGGGTACTATAAAGGAATATAGAATATGATGGGGTTAGTGGCGATTGTGCTCCGCATACAAAATGTCAATTCAAAATTTTACTGCGCTGCGCTGCAATGGTAGTTGCATCGTAAAACCTCCGGACCGAAAAGTTACCTATAAAACTTTTTCAAAAACTGCGCTGACGCGTCTGCGGCACTTAGTTCATGAACGGCTTAAAGTCATTCACGTTTCATCTCTCTCTACCGGTACGGACGATGTGCTACAATGTCGCTCCATAGCCAACTCGCCTAACGAAACATGGTTAATGCACTCTTGTACGCGTGGTAGAGCCGTAGTGTGTACCGAAGTCGGCCGGGTAGCTTCGACGTGAAATTGTTACCTGAGTCAGTGTGGCTTCTTTCTTTAGTGATGTCTGCGGTGTCGCCTCGGACGGAGCGCGCCGCCGGTGAACGGACAATGCAGTGATCAGTGTATTTGTTGTATTTCGATCTCGAGAGGTGCACTTGTATTCCTTATCCACACATTTTAAGTGACTTCTGGAACGTGGAGCCGGTTCTACGCATTTTTTACCTTTTTCCACCTTACCGGTGTCTGTGGTGAAAATATTTGCTATTGTTTATACTCGCCATTTTGACTTAAAATAGTAAAGAACAAGTTTTGAGTCGTAAACATTCACACAAAAAACGGACACGCCGATACATTTTGTTATTCGCAAGTTGAGCGAAAAGTTTGCGGAATAAAGTTGTTCTTAATTCAAACTAAACAAAAGCTACAAGAAGTTCGTATGTGGCCAAGTCATTATTATTGCTGGTCGGTATAAATGTGAAATTAAAAAAATATGTCTCTGATTTGTCGTGAAAATAGTATTAAAAAGTTGAAAGTTGTTGCAGTATTCCAAAATAAGTGAAAGAGTGATAACACCGGTTTTCGTACTCGCTTGTACCCGAAGTTTTGTATCAAGCACTTCACCCTTTTATCTTTCACTAAGTCCTTGCTTATGACGTGGCTGTAATCGGCACATAAAGCTTACTGATTGACAGGCCTTAAAATAATTTTAAGATTGCGTGCTTTATTTAATTGACTGTGAAATACTTATACTTTGTTAGAGACCTACGGACGGGTCTCTTCAGCAGTTTATTGATAATTTCGTCATTGTTTGGGGTCTTCTCAATTAAATACAAATTGAGATTTTTACAATCTGCCTACTCAACTTCACTTGGATGATTGCGATATTAATTGAAAAGAACACTATTAATACTAATTAACATTGAAGCGTGTTCTAATTATTTTTTTAAGAATAATAATTTAAAGATATCAAACGGTTCACCATCACGTAACATAATATTATTAAAATCAAACTACTTATATCACCAGTTCAATGGGAGTACGAAATGAAGTAAATACATTTAATAGAGGCTGTAAAATTAAACGTCCTTTCATTGAAATTATACCGGATTATCTCTATTTCTAGACGAACTGGTTTTATTTATTTTTATCTCGTCCATTGAAGATTATGTTTTATTAATCTTTTATATTTATACAATGAATTACTTTTTCATAACGTCTGTCTAGGTCTGCACACCTTGCTAAGTTTTCACATGCATCTAAATTAAATCAATTCTGTTAATATTTAGGTAACTAATGCCCGTTTTCACCAT